AAAATGACCATTACGCACCGCTGTGAGATTGTAATCCAAGATCTCGTTATTGGAGCAGGGATTTAATTAGACAAATGTGTGCAATTTGTAATCCCATTTTTCAGCTGACGACCAACTTGGAGAAAAGCCAAGTGTTGAAAATGAAAGAGCGAGATAGAGAGGGTTAGATTGATAGAGATGGCGATAAAATTGGTAAGGAAAATGGGAAAATGCGCAAAATATGTGCAAATGTGCAGCATGTGGACAGTGGTCATTATTTTAGTTACGGGGCAGGTACAACTTACGAACTACTATTTGGCAACCAGAGAGGTGAGTGTGTGTGTGTGTGTGTGTGTGTGTGTGTGTCAGCAGGCGGTCCATGTTGAGCATGTTCAGGCACAAAAGCAACGACAAAAAAAATGAGATTTGCTGACCAATGGTCATTAAAGCACATTTACAATGTGTGGCCGTAGCTTGGCCAACGTCTGCCTCGGTGGCATGCAACCAAATGAGGCAGGCAGCAGCCAGCAGCCAGCAGACACTTGGCTTTTGCCAAAGACAAGCGATCAAATCGATGCCGAAATTAATTTATCTGCTCGCTACCTAAATTTGACAAATTGCAAATGTATTTGAAATTGACTGCAGCAGCAGCAGCGTCACAAGAGAGTGAGGGAGAGGGAGAGAGCGGGGAGGGATATAGAGTGAGACAATCTTACTATTGATGCAGTCAATTAATCTTATCAAGCTGTGAACTTTTGCGTAGATTTTTTATATTTTACATGTCTGGGCGGTGCAAGAGGCAAGGCGTGGCGTGGCAGGCAGGCTTTACAGCACTTGGTGCCGCAGCAACCATCCACTTGATTGCGCTAATTGGACGCGAATGATGAGGCGCAGCGCGTGATATACATATATAGCATATATAGAGGGCCAGACGACGACGATGATGCGGCAGCTGCTGCTCCACGATGATGACAAGATTTTCATTCATTCATAAAAAATAATGAAAATAATATTTAACTCGTTCAATGAGGCAGCAAAGAAACGAAACAAAATACGTTGAGCGACCGGAAGTTCTTGTTCTTGATTGCAAATTGCTAATTGTCGTACAATTGTAGTGTGAGTGTGTGTGAATGGATGGGTGTGTGTGTGGGTGTGGGTGTTCTTAGAAATGGGTGTCATGCTACAACTTAGCCATAGTATAGAAATAGAAACAATATCTTTGTTTATATGAGAATCACACAGAAGAGCGCAGTTTAGATAGACGAGAAGTGTGTGAGAGAGAGACGACGAAACAGGCAATAACAAGAATACTAAGCGGAGTAACATAGAAAATAACGAAAGATATAGAAGAGAGAAAAATATACATTATAGTGAGAACCATAAAGACGATCGCAGTTTCTTGGGAAGGAATAAGAAAGTTTGAGTGCAACTTTAAATTAGGGAGACGGAGACAGAGAGAGCACACTCATATCATGGAGAAGGATATTATATAACTCAGTCACTTCAAAAGCATTCAAACGATGACCATCTCATCGTATAGAGATTTAAAAATAAGTATGCTTAAAAAATAAATTAAAATAATTCAGTGAAAAATACTTACAAGATATGAAAATCGCTCGTAGAAATGTTGAACAAAAATTGAATATAAAAAAAAAAACAATAATTTCTTCAAATTAAACAAGTTTGTGTTTATAAAAAAGTTAATGTAAGTCCAAATTTATGAAATAAAAAATTTGGAAGCTGAATAGGTAAAGGGCAGCCTGCTAAGTGACAAAGGAAGTTTGCTTTGAGATGCAAAGAAAGAAAGAAGGAGTGGGAGCGAGAAAGGGAGAGAGAGAGAGAGAGAAGTAGAGAGAGAGAGAGAAAGAAGTAGAGAGAGAGAGAGAGAAAGAAGTAGAGAGAGAGAGAGAGAAAGAAGTAGAGAGAGAGAGAGAGAGAGAGAAGTAGAGAAAAAGAGTGAGCAAGAGTGTGTCAGAGAGAGAGAGAGAGAGAGAGAGAGAGAGAGAGAGAGAGAGAGAGAGAGAGATAGAGAGAGAGCGATATAGATAGAATGATATGCAGACAAAAAGAGAGAGGAAGAAATAGTGTGAAACAGAGGGAATGAAATAGAAAGAAAGTAAGATTAGAGGAAAAGAGAGAGAGAGAGACTGTGTGTGAATCTAAGAGGTAAAGAGAGAGAGAGATAGTAATTTAGCAACTATGGGAGATAGAGAGTCTGCGTGAAAAAGAGAGAGAGAGAGAGGGATAGAAAAAGAGAGAGAGAGAAAGGGATAGAAAAAGAGAGAGTTTGAGATAGAATCAAATAATGTCTAAGAAGATAAGGTCTATAGAGAGAGGCTGGAAGGAGGAAGAGCAAAATGAGAGACTGAGAGATAGGGATAGAGAAACAGAGAGAGAGAGAGAGAGAGAGAGAGAGAACGAGTGTGAGTACGCGCGCGTGTTCGCGTCCGTCCGTGTGCGTGTCTAGTTTATAGTTCTCGAGTCAAGTTCAATAGTGTTAATTGAAGCAAAGGGTTCTCCTCTGCAGTGACAAGCCGCACAGCATTTCCGTTTTGCAGTTGACGCAGCTGCTGCGACTGGCACAGTTAGTTCAGTTGAATGCTGTTGCATTTATTGAGCTTGGCTTCGGCTTGGTTCAGAGTTCAAATGCAGGCAAAAATATGTAAATGCAGGGCGCTTGCGTGTCGGGTCTGTAGGGGGGTCTGATTTGCTTTTACTTCTTGGTTCTAAAGCGATTACACAGCAACAACCACAGCAGCAACCACAGCGGCAGCAACATCAATTTCGGGCACTGGGAACGGGTCACGAGGTGCAGCAGTTGAAATTTTGTGGATGGAGGCGGAGCTGAGCTGCAGTCTAAACGCTTGTTAAAGGGCGCGCTCGAAATTGAGGCGCTTATTGTGGCCGTTGTTGCTGCTGCCACTGATGGGGCTGCTGCTGCTGCTGTGTGGTTTAGCTAGCAACCGCAAAAACAAATCAACCATGCAGGCAGTCAGCGCAGTCAGGCAGTCAGCGCGAAAATCCAAATTCGATTTGCAATTTTCAGAGTTGAGTAAACAATTTTGAATGAAATGCAAGGCTAAAGCCAAAAGGGAGGTGGAAGGGGGCATTGGGGGCCAAGTAGATGGCTGTGCTGGCATGTGTTGATTTGCAATTTCATGGCAGCCACAATTTGCACCTCATCAACTTTGGCCAAGCTTTGGCCGTTGATGAAGATGATCTTGCCATCTTTCTCGCTGCCTTGCCAAATCGTTCAATCAGTTGAGCCGAAGGCATTGGGCCAAAAAGGTTGGCACGTGCAGCCGTCTGGCTAAAAATGTGTCCCAAATAGTTAAGCAACAATTTCTCTATCAAGCAACCAGGAAGTGATAATAACAAGTAAAAATTGTTTAGATAAATAATGCATATCTCACGCACTTGAACCTCAGCTTTGAACCTCAGGGAAGATGCTGCACAGCTAACTCTAATCCCCTCCCTCTCTGGCTAGCTTTGGTCAAGCGTTTTTAATGAAGAGGCCCAGATCCCATGGCCAGCGCCGTAAGTAGCCCCCAACAATGGACGCTTCAGGCCAATTTTATGCGGCTGCGTGTCTTTTCGACTTTAGCTGGAATTTTTTTTTTTTTGCTTTTCGATTTGGCGCGATTGCGCGCCGAACGTTCGATTTAATTTAGCAGCAACTGCAAGGAACCCACACAAAAGATTCATTAAGTTTTCCGTTTGGGCTGCGGAGCGGAGGGTTTCAGATTTTCTCCTATTTACTTTTCCCAAGATCAACTTGCCTGCGGCTCAAAAGATTTGCGCCAAATTGACTGCATGGTCTTGGTCTTGGTCTTGGCCTGGTCTAAACAGCAATTGAATGCCTTCCTAGATACACTTACAAACGGGTATTATGAGTTTGTTGAGCAAACTGTGTGTGGATTTAGTTGATCAGCAACAAGTTCTTCAGATTGTACATGATATATATAATAAATTTATATATAATTTATACAACATTACTATATCGTATAGTTACCAACAATAGCCAAAAACAATTAAGTTTTTCCTTATGAAATATCTAGTTTAATCTTAGTTAACAGAAATCTTCCTGAAAGCCTTAAAGGCAAGGGTATTTGGATTTCGTTAAGGCGAATATGGTCTCTCTCTGTTCTTTTACCGTTGCATTGATGCGGCGCCGATAGACGCTGCAGCTGAGCGCGGCGAAATGGATTCATTAAATACAAATACTAGGTTTTAGGACTGTATATGTTTATGTTGGTGTCTGTGCATGTGTGCGTGTGTGTCATTTGGTGGCCCACATCGACAAGACAAAGTCAATGGCTGTGCGCCCTTTTGGTTTAATTAACAACGCATTACAAATTACAATTTCTGCTTAACCAATAAAATGTTGGTTAATGAGCAAAGGCAGCGGCACGCTACTGAGGCGAAGACAGCTGCAACACAACCCCCGCACTTTATAATTATAAAAGAGCTATGGTCTTTAGGGAAATTACACCAGTCACACACACACACATACCCACTTATATGCACAGTAAATATAGTGTATTAATCAAGGGTTAAGCAGCTTATTGCACATCGAAAACAAAGCAGCTGCGGGCTTTGTTATTGTTTGGTTCTTAGTGGCGGCATTACTTACCTGTATTTTTGCATATCACACTTTTCACTGTTTTATTTATATATTCACATATACACTTTGCACTCACTAGTTAGAATTTGTATTTTAAGCTCATAGTTATACTTTACTTTTTTAGCTAATTTTTATTTGTTAGCTGCAATATCACGGTAAATAGTTCAGTTCGGCACTGTGTGACCGCAGCGTAATAATTATTAAACAGCTGTCGCGCTGACGGTGGCGGTTGGTCGATGACAGCAAGAATTTGAGCTGCGTTAACAGCGACGCAAAGGTGAGCCTTAACATTTCACTGCACCACAACTTTCATATCGATTCATTTGGGGTATCGAAATTTAATAAAGCCAGAAAATAATCAATTTTAATAAGTTGGTTCAAAGATTAGGAATATTTGAATATATTCTTCAGTAAATATTAAATTGTGCTTACAAATATATAGTAGTCATGGTGCTCTAATTCATCACTAAGCAACTTAATTTCTCCACATAAAATAAACCGGAAAAAAAGTTGGTCATTCGCTAATACAGCAACGGACTAAGTACATCATTTACAAGAGCTTGCTGCATAACACACGTGATATCGATACATTTTGAGTATCGAAATTAGAATGCATTTAAATATTACGATAGTTTAAAGCATGTGTGTATAATTAGTTTCGTGGAATAAATAACAATTTTTGTATACCCAAAACAGGCCAATAAACTGGCGACATTGAACTGCTGTCGTAATGCATTCCCGACACTATGCATGGAATAAATATATATATAAATGGGACATTTACATTGACTGCACCAGCATAAACAGCTCCTCCTTTAAAAAGTTAACATCAGCTGCTACAGGAGTTGGAATTGCTGGGACCGCAAACAGTAGAACTATATTTGGGATGAGTCTGAACAAGAAAAGAGAAAAGCAACAAAAAATACATAACATTATTTATAAGTTTCGTATATGATGGATTTTTTTGGCTTACGTACTTGCAGTCATATAAAGTCTTCTCCATGTCGTCCTCACTGAATTTACCCTCACTGGCGGACACCAAGTTGAAGTCGAGTGTTTCATCAGCTAGGCAAGATTGCACAAACTCATATATATCGCTTATCTTTTCATACACATTAAAGGTACCCTGTATAGCAAAGGTAAACAGAATGAATAGATAGATATAGATAGCAAAACACCTTTGGATAGCTCACCTGTATGTAGAGACCATTAGGAAACTTGACTCTTATTAGAGCATAGCGATACATACGCAGAGTGCGCTGCTCGTCGCGTTCTCTCATTGCCTTGGTCTTTAGTATTTGGGAGCTTTCGATGGCCTCGGCGCGCAGCTGCTGCTCCCGCTTGATTTCTTCCGGTGATATGCGATAGAAATCATCCGGGAGGACAACGCGACGTGCCTGCGACGGCAACAGCACTTTAATATTGCGATCCAGCTCCAGCTGTATGGGCTCTGAGTTCTTCAAGGCATCCAGCAGCGTGGCCAGATCCAGGCCAGGTTCCATTTGTTCATTTGTCCACAATAGAAAAGGTTCTTCATCGATTTGCACCTCATTGAAGCCAGCTGCATGCAGCACATCCAAGGCACCATCCACATAGCGCACCTTGTCACTGAAGATCTTGTTGGACATGCGAATTTTACAGAATTTCTCCTCATCCGGGTGCTGAACGATGTTCTCCAGATATTTAGTTAATGTGGCAATACACTCGTCTGCCCGCTCCTTAACATTGCAATTCTGGATGATCAAGCAAGCGGTTAGGCCACGTTCGAATTCCAGCTGTTGGTAGAGAAACTCCTTGATTTTCATCTTCCATGACTGCTTGGGCAGTACTTCTTCACTGATTAAAGGACAGCGAAAAAATACACCCTGACAGGCTAAATTTCGATTCTCCTGAGGGGAACCGCTAGCGTTAGCAGAGCTAGAATTAATGGAGCCGCTGGAAGACAGCTCCAGTTTCTGCTTGCGCTCAGCTTCCAATTCTCGCTTTGCCTGTGCCTTAATAGCAGCCAACGAGGTATTGAAATCCTTTGAATCCTTGCGATCGATGCGTGAGAGTGCGGCATTTGCTGCAGCGCGCGCCTCATTACTTAGCTCTTTGCGTCTGGGTGGCACATAGGCATCCTTACTGCGTCTCGATGAGCTGCTTGACGGTGCATCGGGCTTCGGCTCATTTAGCTTATGACCCTGACCCATGCCGCCGCCCAATCGCAACTGTAAGAGAAAAAATATTAATATTCAATTTTAACATGAGCATGAACTTACCTTGAAAGACGCCTCCTCCTTCTTCTTGGAAAAGAAACGCTTGATTTTGGACATGGCTAAACGAACCTTAAATTCTGGGTGAATGCTCTTTCGGCAACTTCAATTTGGCTACAGATAATTTGAGCTCTTCAATTTCCTTCAAAGTGCCTAAAAAAGAATTTCACCAAAAATTTAACGATATGTTTATTGCTGGGATATTTAATTTCAATAGCAATCGTACTCACTCGGCCTGACAAATTTTTCAGTGATAACTCGACCGTAGACGCCCCACGCCCAAGCAATTAACACACCTGTCCCCAGTAATAGGATCAGCAACACCTTCAGCAGCGTAGCCTGTAATGCTGTAAACTCAACCGGACTTTGCCACTGCCAATGCCAATCGGCAGCGAAGTTGATCAGCTCACTGTAAGATAGGACTACGGCTTGCAGAGCGACGCCAGTGAAGTGTTCAACTTGTTGGGCGAAGGCCTGTAGGGTTGTGTTTAGTGTGTGGACATATGTCTCGTAACTCATTGGCCTGACCGAGAGATGCTTTAGCGTAAGTATTTGAGTGTTGGCGTGTTTTTTCTTTGTTTTAAACTACTTTGTTTACGTTTTACGCATTTTTTTCGAGCACACAAAAAAATGACTCGCAGCTGTCTGACGTTGGTTCAATAATTAATCGTTCTATTCGATTGCCCGATAGGCTATTTTCACTTAACATTAGGCTGTTAAACTCAAAATGGTGCTGCTAGAGCTTGCAATTAAGAAACAGTCGATAGTTTAGCGCGTTTTTTGAATTTGTGCAGGCAATTGTATATAAATTGTACAGCTTTGTGTGAAATATATGCGTATATGACTGGAAACTAATTGGGTTAAACGTGTTTGTATTTGTTTTTTATTCAAACATAAATTTATTTGTTGAGCTCACAACAAGCAGCTGTGTCAATAACAAATCGTTCGGTTCGACACTTCACATTTATGTTAACACATTCATTTAACAGTACGCTGTTAAAGTAGGCGATAGCTGTGCGTAATATTTGAATTAACATTTTGGTATGCAATTTAAATTTGAATTAATTGCCCCGGGCTGCTGACCTCATTTACTAGGGCACTTTATTTATTGATTTTCTGATTTTTTTTCACGGTTCTACTTCCTTTCATAAACTGAAACAACTGGTGGTCCTTAAGCGCAGCAACAGGTCTTAATCCAGGTTGCTTACGTAATTATTTTGCCAATACTGACACGCCCCTTATTGCTGCAGCTGTGTGCATTCTGACAGCACATCCTTGTTGTGGTTACCTGTTTGTCTGTATGTTGCCTGTGGCAACATGTACCAACAGCATAATTGAATGATTTTTGGCCATTTCGGCAAGTGCTTTGCGCTTTGCTTCCTGTAATTTTAGGTGATTTTGCACGCATTATCTTTTTTTTTTGCAGCAGCAGCAAGGAGCATCTGTATGATTGATTTTGAGCTGTTGCCATTCTTGAGCACGTTTATGAGTGGTGCAAGACGCGAGTGTGTGTGTGTGCAGCTCTTCGCATGAGCGCCTTGGCGCTGGAGTTCAACAGCCCAGCCGAAACATGAGCATTGCATAGAAATCTGCCCAGACGTGTGGCTAGTCAAGAGCAGCAACAGGCAGCATGCATGGCTTATGGCTTCCGTATGCCCAGCGCGCTCCACTGACTGCGACCAAGAGACCCCAACACCCAAGTCAACAAACAACCAGGCAGACAGACAGCCATAGATACAGCTACAGCCACAGCCACAGCCGCAGATACAGACACAGATACATTTGGTAGATACAGATACAGATACGCAAACTCTAATTCCATTTGGCTTGCCCATATTTATTTGTGCTAGCTCATTTTGCTCTGCAAGAATGTCGACGACTTATAATACGAGCAGCGTGTAGAATTTTTCTCGCCTCAGCTACACCTCTGCCGCTTTTTGCCCTGTTGTTCCCCCTCTTCGGTAAAGATCATAATTATGGTATCGCCAAGTAACGCCAAGCCTTTGCTATTATATTCCATCACAAAACACGCGATATGTTCTCACTGCGCTAGCACTTTTTATATTTGTCTTTTTGTTTGTGTATTTTTTTTTACTCAATTAACATTCCTGGCATGTTTTGCAGTCTTGGCCAGTCTTAAAGGCATTTCAGCCGCCTGCAATTGCAATTGTTGTTATCACAGGCCGTGCGCCGAACCTGAAAAACTAGTTTCCGCCTCAGATATATATATATTTATATATATATATATATATATATATATATATATATATATTTAGCTTGCTGTCTGCAAAAGTTGTGGCTCGGGAAAGCCAAGTAAAAGCCTCTGTTTTCACCCCGAATTGAACTGGTTGGCCAACATTTGACTGACTTTGACTTTGTTCAAAGTCAAGGCTTTAGTCTTTGCCTCTTTCAATTGATATTGCGTTGCCTCATTAAAATTTATGCGCGCAGGAAACGGAAGCAAAGCAGACGTCGTCATCGTCGTCGTCTTCTTTGGCAGACAAGGCGCAGACAATGTCACAAGAGTTGCCTTCGGTCTAGCTTCATTCCTGGCCAGCAGCAACTGCAGCATTTCGTTTGGCTATGCAGTCGGCATTGACAAAGACCAGCGAAGCCTCAAAACGATTGTCACTCAAAATTGTAAATGTTCAAGCTGCAACCACAACGAAATAAAAATTGAAAGTGTTGACACGCCCACACAGCAAACAATGTAAAATATGATAGCTGCCATCCCTCTCTCCCTCTCCCTCTCTCTCTCTCTCTTTGTACACCTGTATTGTATGTGTGTATATATGTATGAGCACGCCTGTCCATCAGCATAATTGAGCTGAAAGGCTTATTTATGACAGCTGTGCGGAGGGCACAAGAAATCAATAATCCTCATAGAGCAGCCAGCTAAAGAGGGAATAAGCTTGACATTTTAAAGAAAATCTATATAAAATATAAAAGAGATATAAAAAAAAATTAAATTACATTTTTTTAAAGAGGCAATAGGCTTGACATTTTAAAGGAAATCTATATAAAATATAAAAAAACATAGAAAAAAATTAAATTACATTTGAATTAAAATTAAATGAAAATAGTTTTGAATTTTTTTTATAGCTTAAGCTAGAATATAAATTTAACAAATATAACTGACTATTTTAGAATAAATAAAATACAAATTAAAATAATATATGTATGCATATACTTATATATATATATATATATATATATTCAATTTGTCTTTATTTTACAGTTAACTTAATTTTATTTTACAGTTACTTATATGCACATAAATTGGCTTAAATACATTTTTATATTTTTTTTTATTTTTGTCTTTAATATTTTTTTTTAATTTAAAAATTACACAGAAAAATGTTTGAATATATTTTAAAATTTAAAATTAAATTGTTTAATAATTTATAAAATTATTCTAATATAATTATATATATAAGCCTAGCAGTTTATTGTCCATAATCTTCTACAACTAACTTAACTGAATGCACAAATGATTCTAAGGCAACTGCAGACTTAGACCGTTTCTCTCTATCTCTCTATCTCTCTCCATCTCTCCCTCTCTCTATCCCTCTCTCGACTAAGTAACCTCAACCCCGCATTTCACACACATGTTATTAAATTACAAGCATTTATTTATTGCTCTCAAAGAGGCTGACAAAGCAGAGCAGTCAAAAAACAAGGAGAGGGCAACGCGGTAAGGCGAGAGGGGAGCTAAAAGAGTTGCTTTACACTTGACTACATCGAGTCGCAGTGTTTCGTTTGTTCCCATGAACTTGAGATGTGGCAATCAGTTCACTCTTTTATGCAGAATGCCTCTGCCCACTCGTTCGCTCGCGCGCTCGTTCGTCTTCTCTCTCCTTCACACAAAAGTCAGTGACAGTTTAGTGCCCTCCCCTCCCCCTGCCGTTCTCTCGCTCGCTCTCTCTTTTGCTTTGTCTTTGTCGCATTTTCTTGAGCAGCATTTCACACAGCTTTTGGCTTTTCCCTTCTCATGGCAATCATTGAGAGCTCTAAGCGTGGGCGTGAGAAACCCACTGAACTTCAAGTGCTTTTGTAACCACATTATTTTTTGGGGTGGGAGCTGCATCTAATGTAACCGGAAGTGGTTAATGTAGCCACGCCCCCCAACTACTGCTGCTGCTGCTTCTTGGTGGTCCCCGCTGCGTTTAATGAAAATGAACTAATTAATTCTATAGTTTCTAGTTTCTCTGCAAAGACCGCCCGAAGCTAAAATTGTATTTTCGATTCCTCTTCAATCGACAGCGCCTGAACTTTTAGTGTTAATGGCATGCCACACAGAGCGTCACCTAAGCTCGACTCTAAGCATTCTTTATGGCATCCGCCGTCCAACTGAGTCACCAAATGGCGGACAGTCGGACAGCTAGATAACTAGATGGCTTTTATCGTGTCGTGGGCTTGTCCATTTTCTTCCTTCTTTGGCTGCTGTCTCAAATTTCCCAGCTTCGATCAATTTTTATGTTAATGCCACACAGAGCATGGTCCAACATTTCACTGAATAACAACCAAAAAAAACTTCATGTAAACAAACAAAACACGATCCGTGGAACAAGTGGCTCTTTGGAGGCAGCTTCCAAGCGGGCGTTTGACTCGATGTGTGTCTGTGTGTGTGCAGCTCCACGGCGGCAAAGGGGTCTGTGTATTCTCTCTCTAACTATACCACGTAAATATTGAAAATTGCGGGTATATTAATATTTATCGTCAACTATCTAAAATCGATAGATATCGAGATGCAGAAAAAAGAAAAGGTTTTTAATGCGAAAATTTACTAAGTTACGTTGCTACATTTGAACTTTTTCTCCTATCTCTCACACATTCTGTTTTTTCTCTTTCCCTATTTCTCGATCTCTCTCGTTCTGTCTATCTTTGATCCTCTCTCTCCCTCTCCTTGTGCCTTTATTTGTCTGCTCTTCAGCTCTTTTGGTCTCTACCTCTATTTCGTCCTCCCTCTTTCGTTTACTCCTACTCTCTCGATGTCTTTATTAACACAGTTTCTTTCTCTCTCTTTCGCCCTGTCTTTGTGGTATCAGTCAGACTATCAATCCCCCGATCTTTTTATCTTTCAGTATCTCTCTTTGAGTCTACTTCTCTCTCTCTCTCTCTCTCAGCCTCTTTTTCTTTCTCAATCCTTCTCCCAGTCTCTCTCTCTTTCTCTATATCTGTCTGTCCCGCAGTCTGTTTCCCTCTCTTAGCCTACTTCTCTCTTTCAGTCCCTCTTTAAATCCCTCTTTCAATCCGTCTTTGTCTCTCGCTCTTTCTCTCTCTATCTGCCACTATCTGTCTCGCAGTCTCTCTTTCTCTTTCAGTCTCTCTATTTTGTTTGCTCTCTTTCTCCCTCAATACCAACCCTAAATAAATCAGTTTTGCTTAGTCTTTATGCGCCTATAAACGGATGCTAAGTGAATCGATAGATCGATAAATATCGAGGGGCTGTACTAACACGTTTAAGCATTTAACTTGTTGTTCCAAAGAATAATTTTAAATGACTTAGCTTAGCACTCTCGAGTCCTCTTCTTGTCCTCTCTTTATGCCTCTCTCTATCAGCTGATGGCAGCAGACTACAGGGTACAGGGTACAGGGTACAGGGTATCTGTCAATCGTTGAGCTATTTCAATCTGCAGTCAGCGCTGCTCTTCAATTTTCAAGTTGTATTTTTTCATATTTGTTGATTCATTTCATTTGTTTACCCCGTCGATTTCAGAGTTCGTGGGAAATATAGCGCCCATTCCCTTTGGTTAGTTTTGCTGCCAATGAACTAATTAAAGAGGCGGCTGCCCCCGAAGAGTTTCAATTGCACAATCGTAACCCCCTATTGGCCCCCACTGTTTGTTGTTGTTGATGTTTCGTTTAGCGTCTGGTGTTGTTGTTCGACAAACTTGGGTCAGCACTTGATTAACAAGAAACCGAAACACTTGAGTCTAGCCTATTGATGGCCGCCTCGCCTTACCAAAAATATTTTAGTTAAGTCATTTCCTTTGCTATACAAAAGTTAATTTTTGGTTTTTTGGGTTTTGGGTGAAAAGTCATTTCGAGTAAATTGGCAAAATCTGTAGCCCAGAATCGTAGCTGCTCATCATGATGATGATGATGATGTTGTTGACGATTGCTGCTGTCGACTGGAGGGAAACGTCGTTGGTTGCCACTTCCGCTTCGTTCTTTTTTTTTATTGTTTTTCGCACCTCGGCTTCCGTTTTGGACTTCGGGTCGCCCCGGCGGATATTCTACTTTACATAAGCGGCATTTCCTACAACATTTTCCCGGTCTTTGGGCTGGGTTTATTCGCCTTTGTTTTGCTAAGCGCATTCGCATTGCTTGATTGATTGATCGATCGGGGCAATAAGAAAACACAGACACAGACACAGTTCACAAATTACATTTCTACATTTTCACATTCCATTAGGAAAATTATAAGCGGAAAACAAGACGGAAATATACTTATTGTCATAAATCGGCCAGCAGATAAACTGTAATGCTCATGGCGATCAGCACAAAGACAAGTTTCAATAAAAACGCCACTGTCGATCAAGGAGGAAGGAAGGAAAGCGCATATGAATATATGATTATGAATTCAAGTGAAATACGCACCAAGCGACAGTCGTATGGGTGGCAGATTGGGCACTTCGAGTAGCACGTTGTGTTTGCGGCGACAATGTTCCTTAAAGATGCGATCATATTGCTCAGCCTTGAAGGGTGATAGGGGGCGATCGACTTCGTATTCGTTGTTGATCCACATTTTGGTGTTTGTGCCCCACTGGACCTTTTTCACCGCCGCACACCTGTCGGCAAACACGTGGCGAAAGTTTGTCTTTGAACGGTGCAACATTTGCTCGGCCTCCAGCTGCCTGTCCGCATGGGCGTGGGGCATTGTGCTCTTGTCGAGCGCTTCGACAATCGCCTTCTCCACAACCAGCTTTTGATTGCATTCGGGCACAAAGGCCGATATCGAGAGCTTCGACAGGCAGGTCATATAAACGGCACTGTTTGACTTGTATATCTGTACGGGCATAATGCTACGATACAAGACTTAGTAGTTGATGGAATCGAATGGGACCCAGAGCAATCACCTCTTTAATATGTTGCGGCGTACTTGCATTTTGGATTTAGATGCTAAAAACTCAACAGATATTAAAACAAAAAAAGAGCTTAATAGATGCTTAAAACTCTAAAATAAATATAAATTATGGCTAATTATTTAACAAGTGCCTACTATGAGAGGCAGGGCTCTCAGCTCTCTCGGAGTGTATTAATATATATTTTGTTGGGTGACTCTTAAAACTGTTTATTCTAGCTAGATGGCTTTATTTAATTATCTATATATCACATAGCACATGTCAAATATTTCTAAAATCAGTAAGAATAGTACATCCTAACCTTTCCTTCAAGTATTCACAGACAAGCGCCTAGATTACTAGCTTGGACTTTCTGACTATCTTCCTTTGGCTCAAGTCCTAGCTCGAAACCAACCATTCAAAATTCATTTGAATATCTCTAACAAATTTTCTTATACATTTATTTTATTGCTGCCCTTTTAAGCCTTTTAAGAGCCATAGACCCGTTTAGCCTTTCAGCATGAAGGCCAAACTAGTTTGTCCTATAGATCCGAATGGATCTTCTTCAAGCTTCCTTTAACTACGATTTTAGGGCTTTCATAGCTAAAAGTCTGACTGAGGCGCATTCCGTTTATCATTCAAGCCTTACCTGGTTTTCCTATAGAATATCTAGTCTATAGACCTTATAGATTCCATATAATTTTTAGACCCTAAAGAATCTATAGACCCTATACGACGCTATAGAACCTACAGACCCTTATATAGAATTTATAGAATTTATAAGCCCTGTATACTATATTGATCCCATAGACTCTATAGATATTATAGACCCCATGACCCTTGTAGACCCCAAACACCCTATTGACCCTATAGCCCCATGAACCCTGTAGAATCTGTAGACCCTATAGAATTTATAAACTCTGTATACTATATTGATCCTAGAGCCCCTATAGACTCTATAGACCCTATAGACTTTATAGACCCCATACACCCTATAGAGCCCATAGACCCTATAGACACTATATATATGAATAAAACATTCATCAAAATATATTTCTTACAGCTCTCGGTTCTTTTAGGCTCCTCCACTATCATCACTTGTATCAATATCTTCGTTTTGTAAAACTGTTGTTGCGTCAGCTGTGTTGTGTGTGGCATGCGGCATGAGGCATGCAGCATGCAGCATGTGGCATGTGGCAGGTCGTGGCCGTCGCTTCTTGACGACATCTGTTTCATATTACAAGGTAGCCGCACAAAGGTACAAGCAAAGTACTTGCCCCCGCTGCTGTTGCTGTTGCTGTTGTCGGTGGTTGGCCCATTTGTCTCACTTCCTTTACCTTTCGGACTGGCGCACAAACAACATCCCGGATGCCAAACTAAAGAGAGAATTAAAAAAACAGAGAACAGACAGACAGACAGACAAATTCATAAAACTGCACTAAATGCAAAGTTCCAAAGTTACAACAGCAGCAGCAGCAGCAGCAGCCACATACAGGAAGAGCTGGCGTATCTGTATCTATGATTGTGCATGTATCGGTGGCTGTATTTGTTCCTATAACTATAGCTGTGCTTGTGTCTGTGGCTGTAGCTCTTGCTGTTCATTCATAGAGAAGCGGATGCACGGGCGGATGAAGCGCTTGAATCAGCAACTGGCTCTATAGCTAGCGTTACCTAGCTCTATTTCCCTTCATCTCTCCCGCAGTCTCCTTTCACTTCTCTCGCTTTGTGTGTAGTTCTTTTTTGGGTTCTATTTGGCTGATTATCATGACTAGTTATTATTGTTGTCATAATTGTGCAAAAAAGAGGAAAAAAGGCAGCTCTAGTTGTAAGTGACTGACTAGTAGATACCCTTACCTTGAGCAGAGCTGCTGTTTTAAGCATTCTAGGCTGCTTTCTTAAAAGCATAGCCCAACCAACACATAAACAGTTACTCAAAGCATGTTAAAAAGGGGTGTACTGAACTTCGGCTATAGAATGAACAGGCAAAGGGTCAGATATATGTATAGGTTGACAGGCTGAAACAACTAAAGTCGTCTTGTTTTCCGCCTCTCACACACAATTATAGAAAACCAATATTTACTAATGTTTATTAGATGGCAAACCTTTCGATTGCCTTCAACCAAATATCATTTGCTTCACAAAAAGTCTAGACTACTTACCCCATTCGCCCTCCTGCCGCCCGCTCTATCTTTCCATACACATAAATCACGCTCTGTCTGGTCTAAAAATAAAGACTCATGGGTGTTCTACCGAATGTTAACATTAACTTCTTGGCCAACAATAACAAAGAGTTTATTGCACTTCCATTGAGATACGATACGAGTTTCGTTCTGTTCTTTTCTTAATGATGTGCTAATGGGGCAACATGTCAATGGGCGCTTCTTCCTCTTCAGTACCTACATATATCTATATACATATAGTGCACAGTTCCATTTTAAATTGTGAAAGACATAAACAGCACATAAAATACTAGACTAAGAGGCAACAACTGGTGACCAGTCAAAAATTGTTTAGAAAAAGTAGTCGCAGATTAGGAAAGAATACGGTGGGAACTTATGAAGATCGAGCTATCCGAAAAGACAGAGTGAGAAAGAGGAAGAGAGATAAGGCTTAATCTTTTTGTAAATACTTTAAGTGGAAGCTTAATCTTTTATAAATACTTCAAGCATATCAGTTGATGTCCGGAACTGGAAACGTTGAAGGTCTTTCTTTTAAAATATTTTTTGCAGCTTTTTATACCTATCAACTTATGAGAATTTCTTTGATAAGACTTATCTTAGGTTTACAGCTTAACGGAATACCTAGACAGCATATCTGGCGTATGTAGACAGTTATAGATAATTAATTGCATTGTTCAGATATTAAGATATAGCTGTCTTAAATTTATATATATATATATATCTTTACTTTATGGACTGTCCTAAACAAACAAGCCGTCAAGCTGTATCTTATTATTATTAACAGTATGAAATTGTAACAGTACAACAATATAACAGAATAACAGTATAACAGTATAACAGTATAACAGTGTAACAGTATAACAGTATAACAGTATAACAGTATAACAGTATAACAGTATAACAGTATAACAGTATAACAGTATAACAGTATAACAGTATAACAGTATAACAGTATAACAGCATAACAGTATAACCGTATAACCGTATAACCGTATAACCGTATAATAGTATAACAGTGTAACAGTATAACAGTATAACAGTATAACAGTATAACAGTATAACAGTATAACAGTATAACAATATACCAGAATAAACGTATAACAGTATAACAGAACCTTCATGTAGGCTGCCCAAAATATAATATCAGAATCTTGAAACAAACCCATTGAGAACTCTTTCATGTATTTTCTTACAAATTTCAAGACCAGACGCGATACTTTCCACCTCTTAAGATCCCAACTTCACTTCCATTAAGACCGTACACTCCACTTCAAATAAGAACACACGAAAATTTCAATTGATTTTTCATAAAATTTCATTTTATATTTTCATTAGATGCAAATACTTAGATGACTAATAGGACAGCATTTGAAGTATGCCCCGTCACTGGGCCGATGGCTAATGAGAGTTAGAGCCTTGGCACAGACGGGGCATACTTCGACCACTTAAGCGATTAAACAAATGCATTTAGGGCTACGACTTAAGACTAGGTAACTCTATGTATACATATATATATATGTATGTATGTATATGTATGCTATATATACTAGGTATATTTACAACCTTAGGGTATTTCGCTTGGGTATTCAGTTTTTGTGTTTAGGAGAGCAACGCCATGGCGCGTGCGAGACGCACACGAAAATCACGATAGAGCATCTTGCCGCCAACGGGCACACGACACAGATACATATCCATGCTCATCAGGCAGAGGGCTTTGCCGTTCATTGGGAACTTCTGTGGCAGCTCGGGCGTTACTTCAAGTCCCTCCGATACGGTCATATTGATTAGCCATTTCCACACATCGGCACGTGTCCAATCGCGCGGATCCAACGGCAAGCCATCGGAGCCCATGGGATATGGCAGACTGCTCTTATGATGTTGCATGCTGTTGTTGTTGTTGCTGCTGTTATTGTTGTTGTTGATGTCATCGGAGCTGAGCATATTGCGGCACTTGTCCAACATTTGGTAGGGATGATGACGTTTATTGGTCGCCCATAGCTGCTGCAGCTGATCTTGGCCGGCATTGACCTGAGAGAGGTCCAATGGCGGCACGCGTCCGGCGTATTTCGGGTAACTGGCCTCCAATTGCATCGTACAGCAGTGAGCTGCAAATGGCAGATAGAAATGGAATGATTAATGGAAGTGATTCATTAGCAGAGACGGGCAAGAGAGAGAGGACTGTGTTTATGTGTATGTATGTGGACAGAAGTCAAGTGGCGGAAATGCTTTCACAACCGGACAATTGTTTAATCGCATCAACAGCAACAATAATACACATACGCCACATTGTACGTGCAGTAAACAAACAAAGAGCCTCAAAACTTAGTCACCAGGTTTGTGGTTATTAAAGATAATACTAAATAAAGGTGACCTATATATTATTAAAACTGTAAATTTCATACGAAAAAGATTATTTGAGCCATATTCTTTAGTTGCCAATTTTAAATATATCTACTAAAAATAATAAATCTGTTCCCATTTCTATATTAAGGCAAACTTTTTATAAATAACATTCTGTTAAGCAGCTATCATAAATGCATATGCAAGGCTGCAGCACACTAACAGTGCTGTTAAGTAAGAGTATTCAAATTTCGCCGTGGTCTGCGCATTTCTGTTGTTAAGTTTTCAATGATATTTTTTTGTTATTGTAGCGCAAAATTAAATCTGACCTTGTTGGCATGTATGTGGGGCGTAGCAGAGAGGGGCGGGTCGCACGTGAAAGGAAGCGCTGAATAATCACTACGCTGCTGTCGTATCGATAACAACAACAATAAAAAACAGCTACAATGAGGCGAAAATAACAGTAGCCGCAACAACAGCAACAGCAGCAGCTGATGTTATTAGCCATGGCCACACTTTAATAAATGGCCCACATTTGTTTTACTGACAATTATTTGATGGCTCAGTGGCTTGTTCAATTGCGTTGGCTGACATAGAAAGGCAAGTGCCAAACCGGAATCGCATCGATTACGATAATAATCAGAAGCTATGCGGCAAGCGGAAACAATTAGCAAACGGGGTAGCAGCGACAGCGGCAGCGGCGAATTGCCAACTTGCGAATGAGCTGAGCAAAACAAAAAACGGCAATACTCTAAAGACGGCGAGCATGGGCAATCAGAATGGGAAATGCGAATGGGCATGAAAATGAAAATGGCAATGACAAGCAAAACATCCGCCGGCGCAAAACTAAAGCTGAAGCCAATGTTAAAAGGTGTACGCGCACGCGCGTGTGTTTGTGTGAGTATGAGTATGAATGTGTGGAAGGCAACGGAAGCCGCGGGCGTTACGGCAACCACCGCGATCCGAGATTTCATTTCACACAGTGTACCCAAAATAGGGGGAAGCCAACTGTGGCAGAACCCTTGGGTTTTAGCCCATTTGTCATTTGCCATTTGCCTGTTAATAGTTTTCCGGAACCCGTTTCAAGTGCTTCCGCCCAAGGAAGTGCGTTAAACGAAGCTGAGAATTCGCCAAGGAATCGAAGTTTGAAGCCGCAATTTTAATTATACGTCAGTGTATGTGTATGTGTGCGTGCGCGGCGCGATAATTCCCACGAACACCGAATTCGAATTCGAATGAATCAACAAATAATATGAAAGAAAAAAAAACAACTCTAAAAACTCTTTTTCGTTGTTCTCTTTGTTTGCTGTCCAGGAAGCCACACACAATGCCCGCTGAACCACTTGTTGGGGTATGTACAGACAATATTTGTATATTTATGTTTTGTCTGGGACGGGGGGAAATGTTGAGCAAACTAAGTTATTAACATATAAATTGGGCATTCGAGAATGCCGTCTTTCAGTCAAAACCCTGGCCTAATGCAATGAAAAATGCATGAATCAGTGTATATGTCGGCCGCGTTGGTGACTCAGGCGATAGCGGATGCCATAAACATGCCCAAGTTTGTCCAAGACGACGCTTTAAATGCACTTTATTTATTTTTTATTTATATATTATTTGATGCGCTACATTAGCGCTAGAGCTGGCATATCATTAGCAGCAACTGTCGATAAGCATTTTCGATAAACGATCAACATTAATTTAAATATCAAATGTGACCGCACCACGGGCAATGAGTGCACACAGCAGGCGCTCTAAATTAGACAATTATAACAGTTTGAATTTTTGTATTGGAGACCACCTCATGAGGCAATTTCCGGCGACTATATTTACAGATTTCCCACAGCGCAAAGGGAAACGTACAGATAAATTGACCATTGCAGCTGTCAGCAATTGAGTGGGCGTGCCAACGCTGAGTGGGCTGCTGCACTATTAAGCACAGAGTGCAATTACTCAATAGGTAATGTCAGGTTTTAAGCAAATTGCAGCAGGATTTATTTCACAGCTCAATTACTCATTAGGCAATGTTTCATATGTCAGTTATTAAGGTTGATGTAACAGGATCGATAGAGCGCAGACCAATTACTCAATTGATAATGCTGCATATGTCACATGTCTGTTGCGCTTCCGTTTCGCCTAGGTCCAAAATAATCATTAACCCACACATCGATCATGTTGTCTATATATTTTTTTTGTTGGTTTGTCAACATTGGCGTTCCTTTTTGGTTTAGCTACACGCAAAACGCGCGCTGAGCACGCGTCGTCGTTTGCCCTTAGCTCAGGGTCTGTCTGTGCCATGGGTAGGAAATGGTTTTCTGTTACTAGTCGGAGTCAATGACAGGAAGTCTGTGCAATGTGCGCATATCCGCCTCCGCCCGCGCACAGGATGCACAAAAGGAAACTCTGAGACACACACACACAAGCTGAGCAAATGTGCGATATGCCTACACACATACATATAAATGCATTTACGCCAGTTTTAATTACGTTGACGTCTGCACTTTGCACTGTCGTTTGTTGTTGCTGTTGTTGCTACTTAGTGCCAGCTACTATATAAACACTGACACACTCACCCATACACTCGCTGCTTCTTCTGACAGCAACAACAACAACGACGACGACGAAAACGACGAAACGTAAAATCGTAATTTGAAGTTCGTAAAAATGACGCGTTTCCTGTCATTTGGCGAGCACTTTAAGTGCGTAATTTGCTCCCCACACACACACACACACACACACACACACACAAATACTCTACACTTAAATCTTTGCTGTATATTTGTCTGTTGACGCCTCCCATCTTTATCTGCAGGTCGCTTCCGTTTTTTGAAGAACTCATCTACCGCGAACTTTTTTTTTTGCCGGGCATCACAAAAATCTTTTGCACAATTTCGCATATAGATTTTGCATACCCTGTAGACAGGGTATGTCATGTGTGCTATGGTTGACTGTATAGTTGGCTTTGTGACAGCTCGAAAAGTTGTGAATTTCAAGTATTTATTTTAGCTCTACTAAAGGTTAGAGTACTACATATCCCATGGGATATCTATGTAAGCTAGATATATGTTTATAAAGTCAATTATTTTATTTACTAAAATTAGTTTTATATAGATTTATATGAGCTCTAATATTCTTTCCAAAATTTAAAAAATTTCAGAAATCAGCTATATAACATATCTATCTTGATATAGTATGTATTCTAGCATATCTAGTAATTTTCTTGGCTTAAAATTGAAATACCATAATCAACTTTATATGTCCCAAGGTAACAATTGTACGTTCCTTAGCTATTAGATTCAGCTATACTTGCTATAACAGGGTATTTTTTGGTCGTCACTTGTCTGCACGCTCTCGCTCTCTGCACTTTTCCTTCGCTTGGTTTACATATCAAATGTCTGACAAATAGCAAACACAGCAAACTATGTAAATTTTGTTTTTGCCTAGCTGCCATTAATTTGATTACAATTTGAACGCTCACGAATCCTAAGCTCTAGCTGTATCTGTATCTGTATCTCATAGATACACTTGCGCATGTCTAAATTATGCGCTTCCTCCTAAGTCAATTTGCTGTTGTTTTTCTTAGTTCTTTTTATTTTATTTTTTTTTTTTTGAGGGGTTCTCAAATTAAGTTAAATTTCCAGCTGAGGAGTTTCGAGCTGTTGATGTGAAAAAGGTTTTAAGAGACGCAGAGAGGCTACATATTCAAGGCAAATAAACTTATTCAATTCAATAACAAATATATATATATATAAATATATTACAGAGTGCACACAACAACAACAATTATAGACAGCAGCAGACGACAGATGATAATCTGCTGAATATTGTTAAAAATAAACATTTTGTTTTGTTTTTTTTTTCGTTCGCTAGCCAAACAACAAAACCGGATTCCTACATATATATATATATATATATATATATATATATATAGGTATATATATATATGTATATTTGTTTGCTGATATTACAAATCATGTAACGCTGTCGCTGCTGCTGTCGGCGTCGGCGTCTGCCTGACGTCTGCAAAAGCGCTATTGGACCTTAGGGGCATTTGGGGCTGCAGCTAGGAAGGGGGCTGGGGCCGGAGCGGGGGCAGTCATGTGGGGAGCACATTGAAATGTTGGAACTGCGCCCATTGCATAGCCATTCATCATTTAGATTTGGGGCGCGGGACGCGCACGTTGATGGACGGATGTGTGACGACTTTTCCTCGTTTAAAAATAAAGCAAATGGCGCCAAATGCAGTTGGCTGAGTGAGCAGGGGGCGGGCGTGTAGTTAGTCTGTGCTGTAAATATTTAGTTGGAAATTAAATGAAAACAGAACATGAGGCAAATGCTTTGATGATGACGAGTCGGCGACGTCGTCTGACAGACATTGAACATTTCACGCCCCACACGTGTCGCTGGCAATGTGGCGTGGCATGCAACAAGGCAAGAGGCGGCTGCTGCGCGACACGCGCCAAAGCCAAGACACGCAAAGCCCAACAAGCGTCTAACTAAGATGACGATGACGATGTTGATGATGGTGTGAGTGCAGCTCAGGTGGGCTTCGCCCTCGCAGCTCAGCAGGAAATGCGCAAACGAATGCTTATCGCAAATCAAAATTTGGTGCTTTGATTGGGGGGTTTTACCTGGTACTTATCTAAGCAGTTGCATTTGCAGCTTATTTGACAGCTATGTCATGAGCTAGCTATTTCCTTTAGTGGCTCCAAACGAGCGTGAATCACAGCAAAGTGAGCGAGGGAGATAGAGAGGGAGCGAGTTTGCAATGGCATTTAATTAAGTGTTGTAATACCCTGTAGGTGAATGATATGGGCTATGTTGACTACACAAATGGAAGCTTATCTAAGTTTATTTATATTATTGATGATTTAGCTCACTGGTTGGAGACTTCAAACTATCTATATAAACTATATATATATTTCTTATCAAGCTAGAAGCGAGCGAATTCAAATACTCGTCATTTCTTATCGGGCAAACGCGTTGATTTTGATAGTTATAGTAATTGGATAGCTCAAAGCTAAAATGTATGTCATACTGTTATGATATTTCCTTAATATTGACAGATGTGAATTATTAACTTTGACATAACTCGAGAAGTATAAGAGCTATGGAGTTGAAATTTCGTATGTAAACTCTACTGGAGTGTATAAACATATATAATATATTATTATAGATAATACTTCTCTCATTTCTATAAAATTCTTAAGTTTTTTTGTTTATTTAGCATAACTCGAGAAGTATATGAGTTAAAGAGCTGAAATTTCATATGTAGACACTGGTTTAGTATATGAACATTAAATATAATATAATATAAAATAATATAAAATATATATATTATAATACATAAATTATATATAATTTCTAAAGCTTTGTTTAGCTTTGCACTTTCTTTGGCACTCGGAGCTATAGAACTGAACTTCCATATGTAAGCCACGGTAGAGTACATAAGTATACATAATACTCAGTGCTATCTATATCTTTAAATAATTGTTCTTAGGGTATTTCAGATTCGATCATTCTATTTTTATGCTCCTGTTGTGTGGCCAGGTGCGTTTTTGATATGTGTGGCAACAGCGGCAGCTGCAAAGATTACAGAGCGCCGACTGCCACAATAGTTTCAACGTTCAACGTTCAACGTTCGCTCTCCACTTGGGTCACACACATCCTTTGCGCATGCGCGCGCATTCACAATATGCGGGCTGCAAAGGCTAACAAAGCGCCCAAAATGCAGCGAGCACTCTCCCTCTCACCCTCTCGCTCTTTCGCTTGACTGAAGTTGATTCTACTGGTTTCTTATTATTATATTTTTTTTTTTTGCAGCTGCCGTCTTGGCATTTCGAGTGTGTCGCTTTGTCTTGTGGTTGCGGTTGCCCCGCCTAGCCGCTCACCGCTTTGACAATTCTGTTGTTAGGTTTATTTCTGCTTTGGCACAGCTAAACCAAAAACAAAAAAGTAACTATGAATGCGGTCATGGCAACTGCACATTGAGTCTAAAGCGAAAAAAAAATATTAACTGTGAACGGTTTTTGAGAAGGGCCAGCGCTAAAGACCTGGCTTATAACTGTAGTTCGCACAAGAATTGGCAACACGGTGCGAAGCGATTGTGTCTAAACTCGTTAAAGGCAGTACTTCAAGTTGTTCTATTATAACATAGGAACTGTTGTTCTATGAGAGATATATGTACAATGGGTGCAGATCCCATGGAAGTTGTATTTTGAAGTCTATTTGAATTGAAGAAGTGCTGCTTATATATGTTTGTAGAACTAGAGTAATACGAGTTGCTGTAATTATTTCTATACATTGCTTTGTGAACTACACTATACTCTACGCTTGCCTATATAAAGATCTGATATCTTAGTTTTATTTAGTTTCTCTTTTGTTTCTCATATATCGAGTAATACTTGTAGCTCCTATAAGCAACCTATTACAAGCTTTAGTTTAGAAAGTATTCGATTGGCTTAAGCCTTCCCTATTATATATTTCTATATACACATCTAACTCTCTAATCCCTCTTTCCTTCTCCTGAATTTACTCTCTTTTTCTGCATAGATCATTTCCAATCTATAGCCACAGTCTTTACCTACAAGTTTGTGCTCTTGCAAGCCCACGATGCCCACTCAAGGCTACATTTATTGTGTCTTGCCTCGAGGCTGACCTATACACGGGCACTTTCAATTTTGTTCAACAAATCTATATGTTATGTTAATTCAAATGATCTTTCAGGTGGCACATATATACATATACGTACATTTATATATGCCTATATATGAGCACCTTTTGGAGGTCAATTAGCGCGAAGAAAACACAAACGCTAAACGAAACTGTGCGCACAAGGAAAAAGGTATAAAATTAATTGTGGCATTCCTCAACATGTCAAACAAGACGTTTACACTAAGCACACAAACAAAACAACAAGCAACAAACTGTTTTTGTTAATGAAACCGACAATTTGGTTGTTTAATGGGCGACAGCTCAAATGGGAAAAACTATCTTAGCCGGCGTTGTGCGGGTCAAATCAATCATTTTGCTGAGCATGCGGGTGGGAAAAGTGGAAAACCCGTTGTGGGATTTCCGTTTCTTATACTTTCAATCAGTCAGTCAATCAATCAATCTAACAATCAAAGCTCTAGACATTCAAGTTTACCTTAAAAGCAGCTGCTCCTGACAATTTTAGCTGCCTTCACTATTTCGTCTCTGTATTAATCGTCAGTCAATCAATACATCAATGAGTCAATCAGAGCATCATCTAGAGCCTAGTCTAGCCATATCTACACAAAATGTTAGCTGTCTAGCGCTAAACCTGTGTTTAACTAGTACATGAAACATCAATCAGACGATCAAATGATTGACTAATGATTGAAACAAGCTTGAGCTTCAAACTTAATTAATTGATTGATTCCCTGCTTGATTGAGTTAAAGGAAAACTACTTTGCAGCTAAACTTTCCTTAAACTGTAGTCTATGTGAGAGCTATCAATCAGTCAATGTATTGAAAGCCATCAATCACTCAATCAAAACATATTTTATATGCCTATAGATATGGCTGCTTACCTAGTTGAGTGTTAATCCAAAATTTACGAAGGCTGCTTGCAGTTGTACAGCGCCGACGATATCCGTTGCGATATATCTTAAGATATAGATATATATATATATATATATGTATATACGTATAATATATACGTGCTTATTTGCAATTTGTTTATGAATTATTTGGGTTTTGTTTATGGAACTTCCTGCGCGGTATTGCGAATGCAATTTCAGTTGTTGTCGCTCGGAATTTGTACTATATGTATAGTCGAAAGATATATATATATATATACAATATATCTTTGCTTCTTCTTTTACTGGTTTTCGCGAAAATAGAAATTGCACTTGTTCGCTTTCGCTTTAGCTTTTTCTTTTGCTTTTTGCTTGTCTCTATCTGTTCGCTCTTTGTCCGTCAATTTTCACTGGAGGAGGAGGGGCGGCGGCGGCAGCTGAAGCTATTTGTCAGATTTTCACAATTTGCAAAAATCTATCTCACAATTACAACAACAACAACAACAGCAATATAGCAGTTGAGTATTTCGCGCTCTGAGCTACTTTTCTATCGGCTCAAATTTCGAAAGTTTTGTTGTTTTTGTTTCTGTTTTTTTTTTTTTTCAAATTGTTGCAACTTTTTTTGTTGAGCTTCGAGTTTCTTTAATTTTTTTTCTGTTTTGTTCACTTAACACAAAATTCCAGTTTGCAGCTGCAATTCGCTGTTTCTTGTTGTTATTGCGTACGAGTATCTGCGTATTTCAGCTAGTTTTTTGTATCTGTCGGATGCGTGTATCTGTGTGCTTGAGTGTGTTGGGGAGTGTGGCTGTAACTACGTTCTGTTCACGCGCACTTCACGTTCTCAACTGATTGCGATCGTCGTTGTGCAGCGAGTTTTGTTGCCTCAGCCAGGGCACGAGCTCGCTCTCTGCCTTTCTCTCTATGTCGCTCTCTCTACGCTACACACACACTCTCATGTGCTCACGCTATAAGATAACCGCTCTCCCGCTCTCTTGTCTGACGGCGAGCAGCGCTCTCTGCTACACTGGCAAAAATTGTAATACATTTAAGTAGCAAAATTATAAAAATTATAAAAATTAAATTATAAAAAAAAAAACAATTCGAAAATTAAAAAAAATAAACTAATTAAATATTAAAAAAAGAAACAAATATTTAAATGATTGAACACTGCATTAATCTCTTTCATAAAAATAAATAAATATAAAATTAAATAAAATTTATATATGAAATATAATATTCATATATATATATATATATTTCTTAAAGATAAAATGTACAAAAAATAATTAAATATATTTTTATTTTAAAGTTAACATATATAAAATAAAAAATATTTAAATTTATTTTTAAAAATTATTATTGTTTATTTTCTTATTCTTTTTTACTTAAAATAATTTTTTAATTAAGTATTAATAAATATGTGTTATACATTGAATTTTCTAATTTTAAAGAATTTATTTATGGTGTTATATATTTTACTTATTTCATATTTTATTATATTTTTGTTTTAAATTCTTGCTAAAACAAATATTTTTTTTTAATTTTAAAAATAATATTTTTTTAATTAATAATAATAATAATAATAATAATAATTTATTTTATGTTTCTGTTTATGCTGTGCTATTGCTGTTGAGCTCTATTGATAAGACGCTTACCTGACAGCAGTGGACAAATTTTTAGTTCCATTGTGTTTGGGCGGCGCACAAAAACTAAACGTTCGGTTTATTTCATTCATAGAATCTAGAGCTCGCATTGTTCAGACTTAAATCGATTAACACATGCATCGATGGCTTAACAAAATAAAGATTTGTATGGGCAACAATAACTCTTACAGATTGAGATACAAAATCGTAGGTGCAATCAATGTTGAAAGCAGTTAAAGGCTTGGAGACAATTGCTTTTTGGGATTTGTCGTATTAAAGATACATTATCTTAAGAGTAAGAGCTTAAGAAATTGTGCAGATTATAGTAGATTTATTGTGTTTGATTAAGATTTAGGCAGGTCTTTTGGTTTGTAGAAATGATTGCTGTTGTGGGAATATAATATATAATTAAGGAAAAATGTATACTTAAAAGATCTTGTGGGCCTGAAGAGCCATATTTAGTATTATTAAACTACAACTATTCTATGCACGAATCATCATGCAACTATGTCATCAGGTCAAATAGACACATACATCTCTATCTGTTGCCTCTTGCAGCTACCATTCCAACTTATTATTAATCTCGCTTTACTCTTCCTGCACCTTCGACGTTGACAGACTTCAATTTATCAATTTAGTTCTTCATTGAAATATCTTTTTATGTACATATTAATAAACGATTGCGGTGGCCATCACGTGCCACATGCATTATATATGTATATATACACATATGTGTGTGTATGTGCGTGCTGACTAATTATGCTGCCTAGACGACGTTCTGTAATTACAGGAAATCCTTTTGCCTTCGCAGCCAGCACATTTGAATGCGCGCTTTGCGGTGTCGACTTCCTTTTCAAACTGACAGCCAAACGATGCACAGAAGAAGGATCATTCGGGTGGCATTTCTATTTGATCCTGCTAGCATGTGTTCGAGCTGCGCATATGTTTTGGGCCAGCTAAGTGCCAGAATCCTTTCATCGAATTTATAGACAAGCGTGAAGTGGAATACTCGAGTTACGCGGCCTTTTGGCTTGCGTGTTCAGTTCGCTGGAATAACTAATGCCCGAGACGCGCCCCCTGCTCGAGGCACGAGGACGCGCGTCCTGTGCGTGAGTTCAAATTGCAATAGCAACCGACATCGGCAGCGGCAGCGGCAGCGGCAGCAGCTGCTGCTCCTTTGCAGCAAACAGTTCCAAAGAAATTATCTAAACACGAACGACGCAATTATGGCTATTGGTTTTTTCACTTAAGATTGCACCTTTGTCTGGCTTCCTATGTATCTGCAGCTATACAATGTAGCTGTAGCTGTCGCATGTATCTGTAACTGTAGCTGTAGCTATAGAATGTATTTGCAGCTGTTCAGTGTAGCTGCAGCTATAAAGTGTATTTGTATCTATAGAATATATTTGAGACTATAGATTGTATCTGTAACAATAGAATGTATCTCAGACTATAGCTACACAATGTATCTATATCCTAACGCCCAGCTGTTTAATGTATATTATATCTACAGCTGAGCCATGTATCTGTAGCTGTTGATGTAGCTAAAAGAATGTATATGTATCTGTAGCTGTAGCTATAAAATGTATCTGTATCTGTCGACCATGTCTAAAACCTGAAGCTGTAGCTGTATCTACAGCTTTTCGGATGTATCTGTAAGTATAGAATACATTTGTAACTAGCTCAACAAATTATCTGTATCTCTAACTGTAGATACACAGTGTATCTGTAGCTTTAGAAAGTATATTCACCTTAGAAAGTATATTCACCTGTCGAATGTATCTAAACCTATAGAAGTAGCTACGCAAACTATCTAGAGCTATTCAATATATCTGTATCTTTCACTATACCCTCTAATAATCTATCTATCTATCATCAGCCGAATATCAGCTGCAACTTTACGACGTATCTCTAATTGTCGAATGTATCTCAAGCTGCTGTGAGGTTGCCTTTGCTCGTCCTGTCGCTGCCTGCTTTTGAAGACTGCTCGCATTTCGCTGAGCGAGCAGGCAGCTGCGTGAAAGAGTGTGAGCGAGATAGAGATAGACAGCTAAATGTAGAGCCCTCGTGTGCCCACATCTAATGGCTTGTTTATCGCTCACATCGATCGTAGACCAAATAAATTAAGTGCTTTAATTGGCTGCCTAATTGATAGCAGGCGTCGTCTCTCGCTCTGGGCCCAGACGATGATGCATGATTTGCTGCTTACGCTTAGCGCTGCTTATGGAAACTACTCGCTGTGATCCGATTTGGTCTGAGCCGCACACATCCTGCCAAAAAAGTAGCTGCCGTTAATCCGGCTCTAGTCGGCAGCCTGATAGGCATCCTGTCCAGCTGCCTCCAATTGCATTTTGCCATTGTTTTTCCACATTTTTCCAACGTTTTCCTTTGGCCCACACAATGCATTGTAGAATGCTCACACACATGATAAGCATCGGACAGGAAGCCCACAGACAAAGGATGTTTGCTTAGGCCCAGCAACTAATACATGTTTGCTGGTACGTGACTCTGTATGGCTTGTGCGTTAATATTCCGCATATATAGGCGAGTGTGTGCGTACATACATGTGTGTGTGTGTGTGTGTATTTTTATATATTTTCTATATTTGTGATTTCTTACCTATTTGCTTAGCCTGTTTATTTTCAATTACAGGTATTTGTGCTCACGCATAATTAAAAAAAATGCGTAAAGCATAAGGAAGTAAGCGCTTGACAGGCAATAACAAGTTCTCTAGTCAGTGTTGATTGACTACTAGATATCCTGTAATTAGGTATAGCTTGAAATATCTGTTTATGTGCTTATCACGCAACAGCTTAAGACATTTCAATGCCTCTAGAACTTAAATATGTTTTTACTTTTAAATTTTGAATCAGTTGGCTTAAGCTTTATGAAAGGCTATACATATTTATATAAATATATAAAAAATATATAAATATATATAAAATATATAATATATAAAAAATGTAAATATATAAAAAATGTAACATATAATAAATATTTAAGGCTATATATATTTATTATATGTTAAATTTTTTATATATTTATAGGATTTTAGCAAATGATTTAACAAACTTTTTTGAGCTATCGATATTTATCGATACCAAGCAAAGCTTATGATAAGCTTTGTCTTTCTAATCCAATTGATGCACTCTTTTTCTCTCGCTCAATTTTATTCTCTCTTCCTTTTTGTTTCTTTTTCTCTCTTTGATTCGTGAGCTCTTACTCTCTCTCTATATCTCTTTATTTTTCTCTATTTTTCTCTATTTCTCTCTATCTCTATCTCTATCTCTATCTCTATCTCTATCTCGAGCGCGAGCGCGAGCGCGAGCGCGAGCGCGAGCGCGAGCGCGAGCGCGAGCGCGAGCGCGAGCGCGAGCGCGAGCGCGAGCGCGAGCGGCGAGCGCGAGCGCGAGCGCGAGCGCGAGCGCGAGCGCTAGCGCGAGCGCGAGCGCGAGCGCGAGCGCGAGCGCTGAGCGCGAGCTGCGAGCGCTAGCGCTAATCTCTATCTCTATCTCTATCTCTATCTCTATCTCTATCTCTATCTCTATCTCTATCTCTATCTATCTCTATCTCTATCTCTATCTCTATCTCTATCTCTATCTCTATCTCTATCTCTATCTCTACCTCTACCTCTATATATTAAAATTGCTTGCACAACATAAGGACTCCCTCTTTATAAACTACAGTCGGGTCTGGAAGTAAAATGATGATAATTTCTAAGTCATTTCTCCGTCTGAGATCTTACAGCTGGCAACGATCGCGACAAGGGCGGGAAGCAGGCAGTCAAGCGAGAAGGGCGTGTGCCATTCATATATCAAGTTCCAAATATAGTGACCAAATAGTTAATGGGAAAATCCCATAGACGCCGAGAGAGCAGACGCTGCTAATCAAATGTTATCACAAGTACCAAATGTGCCGCTATATATAGCTATATATATATATATATGGAGTTGCAGCCACCCTCGACTAAACGATTAATGGCTAAAAACGGTGCGGGCTTTGTCTGGAACATTAAAACTGCACCGAAATATATAGAGAAAAGTGAATTTTATGATCAGCGCCGAGGGGAAGCAGTGAGAAAACATAAACTAGCCGCCCACATGGCACAGCTAATCCTAGACAGGCTCGTGCACTGCCATTTTATTGGCACTTTCCCGAACTATAAATCAATAAACAGATGTCTCATAAACGTTTCAGCTGCAACTATTTAGTTGTGTCAAGGGGAGTTGCTTAAGATTTGACTAGTTTTTCTTCAGACTTGCGGTAATTTTGTTGGCTCGTCATAAATGGGCGTGGAATCGTTTGTCATTTCGTGTTGGCAGCTGCCCCCGTTCATAAAAAAAATAGAGACGAAGACTGCAACGATCATTAACACCAATTTTTTGGGGAGCCGAACAGAACTTAAAGCCCAGAAGTAACTCTACAGAGAGGGAATAAAAAGCGATCGTAAAAGCAACGCCGAACAGATTCCAAGAGACATTCAAATGCCACACACACAAAACGTAAACGCTGAAAAAACCCCCGATCGAGATAGAGCAAGGTAGATGCGTAGAAAAGAGACGGAGATAGCAAGCGCAAATGCTCGTGGGCACAAGAATGGGAAACAAGCCGCACAGACTTCCGCTTTCATTTCATAAATTCGGATTAAGGCATTTTCGAATGATAACAATGAAAATAAATAAAGAGCGAAGAAAGAGAAAGAGAGAGAAAAAATGAAAACCTTAAGAACTCTGTGTGGAAATGCGCCGTGAATCTGATTAACGGCAACTACAACGTGTACAACGACTCGGAAATGTGTCACGTAAAATGGTTTGTTTCCCAAGTAAACCCGCAACATGCCCAAGAACAATCAACGAGGCAAAGCTCAACAATAAGAGCTGGAGACAGAGGGAGGGGTAGAGGGAGAGCGAGAGATAACTGAGGATGCTCAGCTGAAGTTTGCGGAAGAAACTTGACAGCAACAGATAAGTGAAGGTATTTCAGAGCAGAAATTGTTAATTATGATGAAAACTAGTAAACGACTATATATTTTTAATTAGTGTAAAGTAGCTGATCGAACAGGTGGAGGCTGCTGAAGCGAGGCATTAGTTGGCATTGAATGTGGGCTAAAAGAGAATTTTGTTTGCAAACATTTAGAAGGCAGCAACATGAACTAAAGAATTTGATAGAAAGCTTAAAGCTGATCAGCAGTGTGTCTGAGAGCTTGTCAGCAACTAACTAAACTGAATTCAATAATTTGAAACCTTAAAAAGATGGAAAGTAGTTAAAGAAGTATTTAAAGCTGATAAAGATACCCATAGAATGTAACCAAATCTATGTAGAATGCTAATCAGCTTAAGTTGAGGCTATATGTGAAGCATATTTATATGACTCAACGGAATAGAATAGATGAAGATTTCTTGTATTTGATCAGTACAAAGTCTTACTGCAGCTGCCCGTAGGGACTAAAAGACTTAGACTTGAAATTTGTTATTTAAGCTAAAGAAGCGCTTTAAAATTGTTTGTAGTGTATAGCATAAACTGAACGAACTATAAAGTAAGTTTAATAGTTTTCAGGGCAGTAAATTCACATTGCAATTTCATCAGGTATTAGCACAAAACAGCCTAGAATAGTAGATTTAGCTACAGTGGTTGGGGTATATCTAAGTCAGGCATTGCCTACTAAACCATATTGACTAATTTGCAATCTTTTTTTATATGTTCTTAACTGCTGCTCTACATTGAAGTACTGTGATTTAATATGTATTTTTACTCCAGTTGTATTAAGAGTAGTCAAAACTTTTAATACAACTCGAACTTGAACCTTGAACCTTGAACCTTGTTTCAATTGAATGTAGCTAGGAATTTCTATAGAGCTTTGAATGTTACAATAAATTTGAGTCATGTAACGGCTACGAATGCCTTTTTCTGTACTATACTATATTATATACTATATATTCGTGGAGCTCAATAAGCTTAGTACATGCTTCCATGCAAAGAGATTTCATCAGCTGTTTCTGCCCCATCTAAACTAGTATTGAATGATTGCTTAGTAAATGCCAATGCAAACCCAAGCCAATAGTTAAGTAAATAGCAATGCGAAGCCCTAATAACAAACTCTTAACCATATTTATTGCTATTTGTATACAATTTCTTATGCACTTCAAACTGCCGTCCAATTGAGCTGCGTGTCTTGGGGAGCGCCCCTCGTCGAAGGCAGCAAATCGATTTACATTCAATTTTGTACGCATACGAACACGTTTCGCAAACATTTGCTCAAATTTGAGGCAAACAGTGAACAATTGCACTTCCTGTACAAAACGCATCCTGTATTACTTACAGCAGAGCAAGGGCTCAAGGAAAGGAAGCCCAGGCGGAGGGAGAGGGAGAGAGGGGATGGGTTCATCATCATCTGTTGCTGCGTGGCCCGACGAATGAGCGGAAATGCTGTGAAGGCGCGTACTTTGTACACAAACAAAATATATATTTATATATATATATCTATGGAGAGAGAGGGTAGATAGTTGTAGTGAAAGAGAGGTAGCGATGCGTGCTTGTAAAAACAAATGTTGGCAAACAACAAAAGCAAGGAAAAGGATGTCCTGCTCTGCGCCGCTCGTTGGCCTCAGCTACGAGTGTGGAAAAGTGCGTTTTGGGTAGCTGCAATTAACATTTTCCTTTGGGCTGCCTGTTTACAGTTGTCCGCACACAGCAGGACATGTGGCCAGTAGGCAATTAGATGCTCGTCTGGCAGTGTGAAATGCAGCGCAGGAAGCAGCTCGACGCGCCCATTGTGCGCTCACGTCCCAAAGAGCAAAGGAAACACCTAAATATGGCACAGGTACATCTGGCTATATATTTCCTACACTCGTACCAGCCGAAAACCCATTGTCCGACACCAAATATTGTTGGTGATTAGTGACTTTGCGCCTGGTGCGCAGAAGTCTGGGATGTCCGCTATGAGGAAACGCCTGTGGCGTTAATTGTTTGTCCCGTAGCTGTGCGCCGTTTGATTTGCGCCGCTAAAAAGTTAATCTGGGCCAGCGGAAACGGAAGCGGAAGCAAATGCGAAAATCCTTTAGCCTGTTGGGCTACTTAGGGATACCTTAATTACAACTGCTTAGAGAATTAGAAGGCAAGAGACTGGACTAGGGAGTAGAGTGTAGAGAGAGTAGATAGACTAGAGAGAGTCGAGAGACTAGAGAGAGACTAGAGACTAGAGAGAGACTAGAGAGAGAGACTAGAGAGAAACTAGATAAGCTAGAGAGAGTAGAGAGTGGGCAGAGGAGAAAGTGGAGAGTGGAGAGTGGAGAGTAGAGAGTAGAGAGTAGAGAGTAGAGAGTAGAGAGTAGAGAGTAGAGAGTAGAGAGTAGAGAGTAGAGAGTAGAGAGTAGAGAGTAGAGAGTAGAGAGTAGAGAGTAGAGAGTAGAGAGTAGAGAGTAGAGAGTAGAGAGTAGAGAGTAGAGAGTAGAGAGTAGAGAGTAGAGAGTAGAGAGTAGAGAGTAGAGAGTAGAGAGTAGAGAGTAGAGAGTAGAGAGTAGAGAGTAGAGAGTAGAGAGTAGAGAGTAGAGAGTAGAGAGTAGAGAGTAGAGAGTAGAGAGTAGAGAGTAGAGAGTAGAGAGTAGAGAGTAGAGAGTAGAGAGTAGAGAGTAGAGAGTAGAGAGTAGAGAGTAGAGAGTAGAGAGTAGAGAGTAGAGAGTAGAGAGTAGAGAGTAGAGAGTAGAGAGTAGAGAGTAGAGAGTAGAGAGTAGAGAGTAGAGAGTAGAGAGTAGAGAGTAGAGAGTAGAGAGTGGAGAGTGGAGAGTGGAGAGTGGAGAGTGGAGAGTAGAGAGTGGAGAGTTCAGAGTGGAGAGTTCAGAGTGGAGAGTGGAGTGTGGAGAGTTAAGAGTGTAGAGTATAGAGTGGAGAGTTGAGAATGCAGAGTGCAGAGTTCAGAGTGGAGAGTGGAGAGTGGAGAGTGGAGAGTGGAGAGTGGAGAGTGGAGAGTGGAGAGTAGAGAGTGGAGAGTAGAGAGTGGAGAGTATAGACTGGAGAAAGGAGAGTAGATTGGAGTGGAGACTGAAGAGTGAAGAGTTGAGAGTGGATAATTGAGAGTGCAAAGTGCAGAGTGAAAAGTCGAGTGGAAGTTGAGGGATTGGAGATATACTCTAGTATAGTTGGTATATTAAATTTACTTGAGAATACAAAAGCTGAAATTTTCCCTGTGTTTTGCCATTTTATTAAATATACTGATAATGGATCTTGATTATTTACGGAAATTTTCTGATACTGATTTGTTTGACTGTGTAATTATAAACCACTACGCGGCTGAGCAAAATTATGCATTATATGTTCCATATAGGTATATAATGCCAAATGGGAGGAGACTTCCATATAAATGAATCAGATACTATATACGATCTACACAATGCGTAATTTGTGTACTCAACTCGGAAACTGTTCGGACCGAGAGCGAATGGGTCTGCCCGAACTGCCGGAAGCACAATTCGGATTGGCCGTTCGATATGGATGCATAGACATCTAAAATGCTTCGCTTTGCACGCGCTCATGAAGTGTGGCACCTGCCGCAGTGCGGACCAGACTACGCCGCACACACTCGCCATTCTCGGCGAGCAAATAGGTAACCGGAGACATCACCGTGCCGGGTCGATAATGAGCCACTGCCTGAAAACCCTTTGCAGCTGACCACTGGCCAATGTTGCCACATTTTGTGGCATCACCTGCACCCACTCGATCCGGATGCTTGCAACACTTGAATCTGGCTGGCTGAGTTCTGCAGCAGTAGGCTTGCTGCTTCCATGGTTCCAGCGCCCTCGTCGTCGCGCCTATGCACTCGGGCGGACAATTGCGTCTAACGTTCGGCCCGCGTGCTCCCCCATCTCGATTGCTTCTCTGGTTATTCGATTCAGATGAGTTCAAATTGGAATTATTCATTTGACGATTGCCTTTGGCATTTGCTTTACCTTTCGATTTGCCGTTCCCCTCTTTCTTCTCACTATCTTCCGCGTCTTTCTTTCCCTTCTTCGAGCCTTTGCCCTTCTTGGACTTCTTACCCTTCTTAGAACTTTCCGTATCTTTGGCAGAGTCGCGCAAAATCTGCAATATCTGTACGAAGAGCTTAAACAGCGTCTCATTATTCGAATTCTGTTTACAGCAAACGCAATTACAGCCAGAGCAGTTAGCTGCATCGTCTTCGTTATCATCAATAATAGAACAATCGCAATCGTCGTCGTCCTCGTCGACTTTGTTCTGATTGTTGTTTGCATTGTTCCTTCGATTTTTGTTGTTTTTATTTTTATTAGCTTTTTTCTTGTGGTTTTTTTTCCTGTTCTTCCGCTTGTTGCTCTGCTCTGATCCAGCATCCATGTCACACGAGCAATCACATTCGAGGCGTTCACGCCAATCATATTTCCTGGGCTCTAATGCCAGTGTTGGGAGAAATTTTATCGATTTACTTATTTCATTCTGGAGCTTTACTTACGATTAAAATTGTGCTCACGATTCTGTTGATTACTTGGAGCTTCGCATGTGCAGGAAGATGCATCAGTGCCATAATAGACGGGCGGAGAGCAGGAACAGGTATTAGCTTGGCTTAAGGGACAGCTAAGAAATACAGTTTATTAAGGGCAAGAATTGATATAGGAATTATTTTAATAAGGAGTTGGCTTGCTTTAAGATATCGGACATATAATCTGATATGTAATATCTGACGTCGCGGTCTATAACTTAAAAGAATCTTACTATATCGGACAGTCTCTAAATTAATCTACATGTCTATATAAGCTAGGAGTCAACCACTTGCTACTTGCTAGGATTTGACGCGCTAGAGCTGAGCTCTAGCTAGAAGTAGTTTAGCAACAAACAACCTTTCAGCTTAGTATATCTGAAGCACTAGACGATTAAAACATTCATGGAACTCTATAATCTATCAAGGACTTCTCATTGGAACATATGACGTATCTAATCTTATAGCTGAAGTCGGGAGTCGGAAGTCTGAAGTCGGAAGTCTGAAGTCGGAAGTCGGAAGTCTGAAGTCGGAAGTCGGAAAAACTTTACCAACCGATTATCCGTGTAATTCCTGCCATAATCAAAGCTCCCATTGTTGCTTCTGTTATTATTGTTATTGCTGCTTCTGTTGTTGTTGTTGTTCTTGTTATTTGCATTGTTGCATTGCTGTGGCAGCATCTGCACCAAGACACTTTTCAACTGATCAATCAGCTGATTGATATTCTCGCAATCCTGCAGCACTACAATACTGAAGGGTGGCACATCGCCCTGATTGGCGGTGGGCTGCTGTGCCTGTTGAGTTTGGCTTGCCTGTTGATTATAGTGCATCTCTTGACCTTCAACTAGTTGAGCTGATGGCCTCTTTTGGCTGAGCGTTGATGGTGGTTGACTGGGAAATGGTAATCTCTGTTGACTGTAGATTGGTTGCTCTACTTGACTGTGAATCGATGGTCTCTGTTGAGATTGAGATTGAGATTGGCTTCTCCGCTGCTTCAGTGATTGCCCGTATTCATGGTACGGCTGCGTCTCCTCCTCCTGCTGCTGTTGGCCCGATGGAAAACGTTGGGATCTATCCATGAAATTCTTAAATGTTGACAGAATCGTCGCATTGCATGCATCACAAATACATCCATCGGATGCGTAGCCAACACTGATTTCTCGCTGTTTTCCGCAAATGGCACACGATTTCCTTTGTCGCATGGCCTTCGGTCGGCGCGAACTGTTGCGTCTGGCGTTCAACTTGGGTCTAATGAACTTACGCCCAGCTGGCAGACTATAATCGCTGTTGCTTTGCCGCCCAAATTGTGTATCGGCAGTTGGCTGCAGTTCCATCTCGTCGTCGATATGAAATTGCTCGTGGCTTGGCATTGACTCGGTCAGCTCAGTGGCTACTGAATCGTTCTCCTCGCAGCTGATGACATCGCGCTCTGTTTGATTGGAGTGATTGTCCAGCTGCTGTTCGGTGGCTGAACTGTGTTCCTCATGCGAGTCTTTGTAGTGGTTTAAAATTTTTCTGAAACCGAAACGTGGCATATTTTGAAAAAATTTCGATACCTGGCGAACATTTTGTTGATTTTCCGATTTTCCATTTTCTGACAGCGTTGGCTATGCACTCGTTGCCTTCGTTTTGCTATTGAGCAGCCAATTGGGCAACAGTTTGCGCCACGACCAGCCGCCGCTCTTGCTGACCGTTCGTGAACCCTTCATGCTATCCAGTTGCACAATCGCACTGGCGCCCATAAAGCCATTGAGCTGGGGAATCATCTGCCACTTGTTGGGCACCACAAAGGACGAGCCTCTCCGTTGAGTTTGCTTTAAAATTTCCGGCCTAAATATGTTCTCGGCAACAGTCAGCAGCGATTGACGTCGCCCGGAGGCAACATGGGCTTTCTCCGCCTGCACAGTGGACCGAATGGACAGAAAGCTGCCGCGATAGAAATGATGGATATTGGTGTCCATGCAACCGGCACTATTATTACCGTGCTGATGTACAAAATGGGGACTTGGCGCCAGCTCCACTAGATCGTCCTGCTCTGGCTGAGCATACTGTGTGCCGCATTCCGTTTCGGCATATGGTCGTCGTGCGAGCTCTTCCGCCTGCCAGTTCTCTAATGTGTGCTTCTTCTGGACTCGCTTCTGGACTGTAGTTCGCTCAGACCTTTCGTTCTGAGCTGTTGATTTGCAAGTTGAGTGACATTGCGTCTGTGGCTGATATCTTGTGGGCAGATCAGCTCGTGACTTGGCTTTGAGTGGGTGCTTTGGCTCTGTTTGCGTCTGAGTTGACAGTCGATTGCGCTTGACTGTCGTCGACTGAGTGCGTTTCGTCCTCGAGCCGGAGGCTTGGTTGGATTTATGGGCGGCTACGGATTGTGCATCTAGCTTAGGCTTGGCAGCTTTTGTATGTTTGCTACTAGAGGCACTCGTTGTCAGCTTGCCACCGGTGCATAGCTGCTTGCACTTGAGACCTTGTGCCTTGCTCGGCACACGTAACGTACAGGGCTTAATCAGGCTCGTCGCTGTAAGTTTCTTGCTGGCCGGCGCAGTCTGTGAATTATATAGGGTTAAGAATCTTGATTGATATATAGATTAATGGGCTTACACCACAGCCAGATAGCCGACGACTGGGTATCTTGAAGCGTCGCTTTGTCAAATGCAGGCTACTCTCTGGCCTAATACGCGCCTGCGGGATTAGAGCAGAACAGATAGATAGTTGAATGGGTTATAGAACGAGACTCTAACTCAATCTGGAGGCGCTTACAAAAGAGCTGTTGGGTGGCTGGCAACGTGCTCTCTGTGAGATGCTGGAGGTTCTTGGCGCTAGCTGTAGGGCAGTTAAGACTACGAGTTAGAGTTGATCTATCTAGTTGGGGTCTATGCTTACACCAGAGCTGAATCTTTGATTCGTTTTGGGCACACTTTTCTCCTGGAAATACTTCTCGGGCACGAAATTGGCGCAGCAGACATTATTGTTGAGTGGGGGTATGCCCTGGGTCTCCTCCTGTCGGGCAGGCATGCTCTCCGATGGCGCTCGGCTGCCACTGTATTCGCAAAGCGGCATTGGTGGACCGCTCAACTTTTGGGACTTCGATTTCTTTCTCGGCTCGGGTATAAAACGTTTTTGAATATTGCAACTGCAGCTGGAAATGGTTAACGGATTCTTAACGAAACGTCCGCTGCCCGATTGCATCTCCATGTAGTCCACTTTGGAGTCGTCCACAGTGAACTCCCGTTCGGGTTGCTGTGGCGCCTGACAGGGTCGATAGCCATAAGCCGTCTGAATTATTGGCGATTTGGCTTTTTTCTTGGAATTTGGGCAGGCGTGGTCCGGTCTGACGCTCACCAAGGTATTTCGATTCGATGCTATATATTGCGCATAGTCCCTTGATATTGATGATTTCTCCTGAGCTTCCTGTCGGGTTATCGTGCAATTCGTACAGCCTGGATACGGTTCATCGGATGAAACGTATTCCGGCTCGTAGCGCTCCTCCATAGTCGATCTGGGCGACGGATCCTTGGCTGGGTAGACGCGCTCATAGAGAGCTTTGCAGTGCTGACAAAGCACCAAACTTTCATTGTTCGTATCATGATAGGTTGTCCTCGGTACATCAGCATAATTTGACGGTGCAGCGTTTGGCAGCGAAAATTGGCTAGGCTGCTCCGACGACTCTCCATGTATCATGGGTTGTGTGTTACGCGATGAGCTCTGGGCCCTCGACTCGCTGCCACGCATTTGCGGCTCGGTAATACAGGCGTTGCAATTGGCGCAATGCAGCATCCTATGTGAATTCTGTGGCTCACTCAATGTGGTAAGCTCGGGCTTGCGTGTTGTACAAACTTTACAGAATGGCTTGGGCGGCGGCTTGGTGTACTTCTGTTTAGCACTGGGCTGCGCGATCGAACCCTTGTAAGCTTCGCAACACATACGCACGGTGGTGGGTCGCGATGAGGCAACGAGCGAATCTGGGTTCCTGGTGCAATACATGACCGGTTCGGGTTCAACTTCATAGCCCTGCCAGCCGATTACGCTGTTTGGTTTGGTCGGTGGTCCTTGCTGCTGACGCAGATCAGCGCTATTCGTCGAAGTTCGCTGACTCTTGGTCGAGCCACGGAAGTAGACATCTTCAGTTGTTTTACGACGCAGATCAGCGCTATTCGTCGAAGTTCGCTCACTCTTGGTCGGGCCAAGGATGTAGGCATCTTCAGTTGTTTGACGACGCAGATCAGCGCTATTCGTCGAAGTTCGCTGACTCTTGGTCGAGCCACGGGTGTAGGCATCTTCAGTTGTTTGACGACGCAGATCAGCGCTATTCGTCGAAGTTCGCTGACTCTTGGTCGAGCCACGGGTGTAGGCATCTTCAGTTGTTTGACGACGCAGATCAGCGCTATTCGTCGAAGTTCGCTGACTCTTGGTCGAGCCACGGATGTAGGCATCTTCAGTTGTTTTACGACGCAGATCAGCGCTATTCGTCGAAGTTCGCTGACTCTTGGTCGAGCCACGGATGTAGGCATCTTCAGTTGTTTGACGACGCAGATCAGCGTTATTCGTCGAAGTTCGCTGACTCTTGGTCGAGCCAAGGATGTAGGCATCTTCAGTTGTTTGACGACGACTCTGATCGCTGGCGAGTGGTGATTGACTGCCGTAGTCCGTTGTTCGATTAGCTGTGTCACGACGGGAATTAGCTTCCTGCTCATAGGTTTGTGAAGCAGTATTGCACTTTACGCAGGGAGTTCTGGACTTGCGCTTCTGCGTTTGATCGGCACCCTTATTTGGGGGTAAGCTACTGATGTTTCTCTTCTGGTTAGAATTGGTAGATAACTGGCCCATGCCAGCAGGCGTGCGAGCTGGTGGCAGTATCTCCGAAGGCGCTTCGCTGGCCTGATACTGCATCGCGGTCATTTCCTGGTACAAATTTAGAGACAAATCTGGAATGAAGTCGGAGTACTGCAACTCGGAGATATTTTGGAGCGGCAGCTCCGAGTACTCGCGGTAAGGCTCCTCAGACACGTGCGGCTTAGTTTGCTCAGCTGACTCTGTTGGTTCTTGGGACTGCTTCTGGTTCTGCTCCGTAGTCGGTTGTTTAGTGAAGAACAAATTAGGCTTCGCGTATAATTCCAGATACTTCTCTGTGCCCGACTCCTGCGAAAATTCCTGTTCTGGGTAAAGTTTTCGGTACTCTTCCTTATCCCATTTTAGGTAGTGATCGTGGCACTCTACCACGTACGACTTCTGAAACTTTTCCGGACACAACTTCTGGCACTTTCCTGGACACAACAGCTGCTGGTAGAGCTCTTCAGGCAACGCACATGAATCCTTGTTCAATTCTTCCGCACATGAATCCTTGTTCAATTCTTCCATACCCGAAGGATTCTGCATTGATTGCTGAAGGGCCATCGGGCAGAGCTCCTCAGGGCACGAATTCTGACACAACAAAACTTGATCCTCTTTCTGGCACGAGTCCTCGCAACACTTTTCCGATGAATTTTGACTCGATTCCTGAGCGATTTCGTGGTACGGCTCCCCGGATAACATCGGGCATTGCAATGGTTCCTGATAATCCTCCTGGCACGGCATATCGCCCAAGGATTCTGGAACACCTGCCGATTGTTCCACTGACATGACTCTGTATACTACTCCGGGTACGGCTGCTCTTCTTCTTCTTCTGGTCTGCTCTTTAATACTGCCCGGTATACGGCTTCTGTTGACGCTTACCAACTAGGTGATCTTCATCTGGATCTCTATGAAGGAGGCTGCTTGTGCTGATAGGACGTTGCGCCTTTACCTACTTGATAATCCCGTTATATCTTATGACTTACATTATCTAAAGTGTCTGACAAGTGTAAATATGACAAGTATAATTTTACAACTAAATACTTTACAAGCTGCCCAGGCAAAGCCGATTCGATTCGTCTAGCTATACATATTTCCTAGAGTTTGCCCAGTTTGAACAGACGTGGAACTAAAGGGAATAGCAAATGATCATATAAAAAGCAGTCAGTTTTGGTTAGGGTTCGACTCAAACTTTATTAAAGCACTCAATATCTTAACGATGTACGGGTATATGTATATATATAGACACAGAGTGCATGGATTGCACATAGGAGCAGATCCTAGTTAAAGACATCTTCAACTAGACTATGTTCTTATGTATGACCCATGCTTTTATATATATACATAGATAAATATGTATATTGCGTGGACTTAGTGGTACCAGAACTCGGAATAGCTTCTTGTCATTGGCAGTTGATTCAGGAGGGGTTTGTGCATGCGACTATAGGTTTTCTTTAGGCTATTTGAATGTGTTGGATGCTTCAGCTTTGAGGTACAGCTGTTCAGTTTCAGGTTGGGCATTCGTGTGCTGCACATGCCACGTAATACCAACTTCTTCTTCTTCTTGTTCATATGCTGTATGACACGGGGACTGGGCCAATGCAATGGCCAACGCGTTGGCATTCGCATAATTTCCAGCTCATGATCTCTCCGCTTCGACTTATGCTGATGTCTACTACGAGAACTCTTACTCAAGGATTTGGCCTTAGACGTTCCCTTGGCGCTTTTCCTCTTGCGGTTTATCTTCGCTTTATGCGCTGCTGGCTCATCAATATCCTGATCATCGGGAGTATTCCTCATATAGATGGAGAAATCGTTGTCAGTTTCTTTGCGATTGCCGGCTTTTAGGCGTTCGCCGTTCCCATTGGGCTTATGTATCAGATTCATCAACGGACATTTCCATAAGGGACTCGTTACGTCTTCCGTTGGATTGATTTCGAAGTCATTTGCATGTCCTATGGTTAACCAATCCATATAGTTCAGGTGCTCATCCTCCTCCTGTAGCATCTCTTGCAATAGTTCCAACTGCTCGATTGTTAGATTGAACTCGTCCTCAATGCAATGGCTTTCCATGTCCTCTACGTCCATTTCCCTGAACTTGTCGTGGCCACTCGGCGGCTCCAAGCAGCTGCTTGGCTTCTGCGGATCGAGTGTTGTCAGGCTAGGGGGCTGTGTAGCGTTTTTTGGATTTTCCGATGGCAGATCGATTTCTGACTGCCATGGCGTTGCCAGGCAGTTGCCAGATTGCTGTGGGTTTAGCGGTGTTAGTTGGATTTCTGATTGCGACGGCGTTGCCAGACTGTTCTCCGGCTGGATTACATTTACGTCCGTTAGGCCAGAGTCTGACAGCAACGGCGTTACCGGACTGTTGCCAAATTGCATTGACATGCCACGTGAGTACCACAGCGTTGCCAGATTTTTGTCTGTATGAGCTATATTTAACTGTTGCAAGTCCGCTTGTGATTGGCATGGCGTTGCCACACCGTTGGCAAATCGTTTTGTGCTTCGCTGGGACGAATTGGCTTCCACCTGCAGCTGTGTTGCCAGACAGTCGTCGGGCTGCACTGCAGTTTGCTCCGCCGCTGGTTGCTTCGTCCGATTAGTGTGCTCCGTAGAGTTGCCAGACTGCATTGCCTGCTTTGAAGCTGGCGAACTATTGCCACAGCACGTTGCATCTTCTTTCGCAGCGTGCAGCGTTACCAGACTGTCTCCGGGCGCAGTCTGGTTTTCCAATTCGCGCAGCAATTCCACACAGTTGTCATACGGAATTGCATTCTCATTCAATATGCTCAGCTCTGGCTGCAGCGTTGCCAGACTGATCTCCGACTCTAAATTAGATTCATTTGTCAGAAAACATTGCTGCTGCCGCCGCTTCACCTTCAATTTATCCGACATATCCGCCAACAGAAGTTCCATTACATACTTCAGACTCGCATCGAAATCTGGGAATTTATCGATCGATACGGCATCTTCCTTGACATCGGTATCATTCTCCTGGCGATCTGCTGCTGGTGCCGTGAATTGGTTAATTATCGTTGTGCTGCTCTCATTATTATCAGCTTTATGGCTCACCGGCGAGTTGAGCCTCATGTCCAGTGGTTCCACTATCTGCGTGGCCATACGCTCGGCCAGCTTCACATAGTCAAAGCTATCCGTTAAATGGTAATATTGCTGCTGCTGCTGCAGCTGCTGTAGCTGCTTCTCTTGCGACTGCTGTAGCTGATTCTGTTGTAGTTGCAACTGCTGTAGCTGCTGCTGTTGTTGCTGCAGCTGCTGTAGTTGCTGCAGTTGCGATTGCGTTTGCCGAAGCTGCTTCTGTTGATGTTGCAGCTTCAGTTGCTGTGGCTGCTGTTGCTGTTGCTGCTTCATGTTTGCAGATTTCTTTCTGCTTACCGCTTGCTTCATATGCATGTAGCTAGCATTGTTCTCCAGACAATTGAGCAAGTTCTGCGCACATTTGCCAAAATTGAACGGCACAAAGCTTGTCCTTAATCGCTTATTTTGCTGCTGCTGCTGCTGCGCACTTTGTTGCTTTAGCTGGCGCAGCTGCTGCTTCAACTGCATCGATAAATCGTTGATTGTCTTCAGCTGCCCTTGGGCACAGGGTCGCATCATCGTTTGCGACCAAATGGGCGAATTCGACTGTAATGAGGCGTTTGGACTGTGCCATAGACTGGGCTGCACGCACTGAGGCGGTGGCTGCCAATTCGCCGAGCTTGAGAATTGTGGCGAAATGTTCATCAATTTTCGCCGCAGGCGACTTAACTTTCGACTGCACGGCTCGGGCGAGCGAAGATTCGGCATACGCGGCACTGCACCCACCATTTTGTTGCAAAAGTTCGATACGAAGGTGTCACGACGCGGCGTCAATTGGTGCGATGCGCCGTTTAGCCAGGACATGTTCAGTTGGCCCATCTGTTGCTGGGGCCGATGCTGCAGGGGCTGTTGCTGGAACGCGCTGCATGTTATGCCAGCACCCATGCCACGGCGTCGTACCATCATTATTTAGTGATATGCAATAATAAAAAGCTAATTTTTACTTGAAATTTGTATGGTTTTAACATTTAGAATTTTGAGTATACATTAGTGCCATAACTGTAGTGTGCAAAGCTTCAGTTACGAGTCCAAAAACGTTGACGAGCAAAGCAAAGCGCCGCAGCATCTCAGCTGTTCATTTCTGTTGTTTTCTTTTCTTTCTGTTTTTAGTTTAAAAGCGCGCCCACGTGTTTACAGTTTGAGCTTTCGTTTGCTGACGTCACGTTTGGCTATCGCATGCGCGCTTTTGCGCCTTCCTTGCCGGTCAAAATGGAAAATTTCATTCATTGCGGCTTCATTTCCAGTGCGACGCTTCCAACTCCAATTGGAAGTCTACACAGACCGCTCTCTCTCTCTCTTTCTCTCTATTAAAAACGCTCTCTCACGTAGCTGTTGTGCGTTGAAGTGGAAGACAGTAATGTTATGCCCTGAGCCACAATGAGAATTCAGGGTATAATGGTTTTTGTGAAAGTGTATGTAACAGACAGGAGGAGGTGTGTTAGAGACCCCTTAAAATATATTATCGATCAGGATGATCCAGCCATGCCAGTCTGTCCGTCCTTTAAGCTTAAAGAATGTATACACACTACGCTATAATATTTTTCGGTATTTCATGCTAACGATAAAAATCAATAAATAAATAAATCAAAAAATACAAGTAAGTATTTTGTATTTTCGATTTTGTATATTTTCGATTTCGCAGGGTTCAGGGTATCTCCTAGTCGAGTTGTCTCACCTCGTCTTGTATTTTGGCTTACAGCTTAGTAGGCGCGCAATTTAAGCTTACATTTTTTTCAAATTATACTCCAAATTGTAAGATTCCAGTTAATTTTTCTTAGGCTTTCGAACGGTCAACATTAAATTTCAGTGATAGACTTTTTTTTTTTTGGTATTCCAGTGTTGTCAATAAGAATAGGAGACTTGTGATAACCAAATTCTAAAAGCTGATTGAACACACAGACACCAACACACACACATATACATTCATTCATTTACATATACATATAAAGGACAATTTGAGTAACAAGCATAAAGAGCAAACTGCATAATGGTGAACGTGGGTTGCGTTGCCAAATTGCTGAGCGGTTTTCATTTGGGAAACGGCTTCTGGGTGAAACGCGTTAATCCACATTGGTATGAGGCACGACAATTGCCCAAAACGTTGCTGAGGGAGAAGTTGACCGCAAATAAGACGATACTGCAAAAGGCAAGAAAAGCGTCCGTAAGAAAAAATACGAAATCTACTTTGACAATGACCCCGCTATCCAGGCGCGTAGCTCTCTTATGATTTCACAATAATTGATGCTGGAGAATCTGGAAGAGATGTGCTTTAATATATTGCCTAGCAGCTCTATACAATTGTAATCGAGTACTCGATTTCCCTGTGAAACTTAAACTAAGATTTTGTTCTAAATACCCGCCAGATAATGTGTGCTGCCAACTAATTTAAATAAATGCTAACAGGGGAATTCGCTTAATTTTAACAGAATGTAGTTATTTAACAGTCCGATCAATGTTCACATGCAACGCTGTGTGCGAGCAAGAGAGTAAAGTTGTCGATGTTAAATGTATGGTCTGCGTGTGTGTGTGCGAAGAGAGCGAATCGCCAATCAGTTGGTGCCGAGTTTTTGCTTCGTATGCAGGTGGGCCGCGCTTCGCGCTAAAATCTTATAAGAATCGCCACTTAAACAATATAAAAAAATTCCAATAGCCGAAAGCGAAGGCACTTGATAATATAAATCGCGGCGCATGCTACGCCCACGCGTTCAAGTTCAGTGCAAGCGAGAAAACAACCAACAAAAGCCAAAAGGCAATAACAAGGCACAAGTGATAAGAATTAATATATATAAACACATAATATATATATGTATATATAATCATATATATATAAATATATGTATATATATATATATATATATATATAAGTATATTTATATATGTATATATATGTAACACAAATTCAACGTGAAAAGAAATCTGGCGACAAATGAAAGAAAAATGAAATATTGAAACAAAATTGAATATAAAAGATAGAAAGCATTCGTAATGTGTACGCAAAGAGCAAAAAGCAAATTTAAAGGAGACGAAAGATTAAACAAAGTGTTTCATATTTGAGGCAGAGTTTGTTATTGTTGCTATTGCTGCTGCTACGGCTGGAAATGTAAAAACAACAGAAATATGTTATAGAGCAGGAGGGAGAGGAGCGGCGAACTAAATTTCAATTATAAACACATACATTTGTGTGTGTGCGTGTGTAAATGTAATTTCTTATATGATTCCGAATGCGGCTGTGTAAGTGTGTGTGTGTGAGGCGACATGCGGAAGCAAAAAATATTCATGAATGGCAATTATGCTGCTGTATTTTTTGTTTAGCCCGCAGCCGAAATGACGGCGAAAACTACGTACGCTTTTCCACTTGGAAGTCGTGACGTTTTTCGATTGCATAGCTACATATGTATCTGTAGTGCGTGTGTGTGAGTGTGCGCGCAGCTCTCGCCCGCAAACCCATGTGTGCATGTGTGCTTGTGTTCGGTGTGTTTGTTTGACTGCGAACGTCATAGCAACTCCAGTAAAACGCAAATAAGCCAAAGAAGAAAAGCTAATTGCTGTTGAGTGGTCTAATTGGACACCTTGCGTTTGTAAATTTTGCTTTTTTCATTCGCCCCGTTATCAACCTTATATATGTGTGAGCGTTGTGTGCTTTCACTGTCTTCCTCTCTCTATCTTTCGCTCATTTGCTCACATACGTACGTTTTATTCGAGTGGTTTTGTATGCTCGACCTCGACAAGTTTCGTTTTTCGCCCCTCCACAAACACACACACAACATACGTGTGAGCGCATGTGTATGGGTAATTGTCATCATGCTGCTTCATATTGTAATTTCTGCTGTTGTTTTTTGCGAATTTCCTTGACTCCTTGAACCAGGCACAAACACAAACCCACATACACTTGCATATACGTACATGAATATACCAGCGCACTCACACACGCACATCGTAACCTGTCTGCCCCGTAACTGTTGCTGCGCCCCCGCCGACTACACACACACAGACACATACATGTCGCCGCGCGCTCTACTGCTTGGCTCTTGCGTTTTATTTGCCTTCTGCTCTGAGCACTGGCGCTTCTGAACTGTTGTTGTTATTGTCGTCTCTGCTGTCTGGCTGCTGCTGCTGTTTGTAAGTCGAAGTCGTTCTCTAGCTTTTGTTTTTTCTACTCTTTTATATTTGTTGGCTCATTTACTTTGCCTGACTGTTGTTACTTTTTTTTCCTGCGCGCGCGACTTTTGTTGTTTTTGGTTTTCTTTTGTTATGCTTGTTGTTTTTTAATCATTCTCGTATTTTGCCTTCTCTGATTTTGCTGTCGTGTTGTTGTTGTTGCCAGCAGAGGGCACGAGTGCGAGCAGAACAACAACAACAAGAACTACTGCGGTGCCTTAGTTATCAGCTATGCCCAACAGATATGGTGTACAAGTGTATGTATGAATGTATGTACATATGTATACATGCATGTACATATGCTCACAGTGCTTTTCATAAGTTTACCACCATTCCATATGCTAAGTAACTTCTGTCTAAACTGATCTATCCCAATTGAATAATAATTACAGTTAACTTGAATAACTAACAATTTGTATACTCCGGCTTTCAATTCTCCGCCCAATTACCGTGCACGCCGCCTCAGTTGTGAATGACAGCACACATCGACGCATATCATGATGATTTTTCGTCTTAATTTCGCCGCAAACGCTTGTGACGTCTTTTACAGCTGGCTACGCTTTCGCAACTCTCTTTCGCTCTCTCTCTTTCTCTCTCTCTCTCGCTCTTCCTTTGCGTGCGTGCGTTGGAAGTTGTCAAGTCAAATGGGGCTCCAGCTTCAAATGCTGCTTCCATTTTGGAAGTTCATTCAGCTTTGATGCGGCGCTTCCAGGCACAGGTCATCGTCGTCACTGCATTCGCATCCATTTAGTTCAAACATTCGTCGTCGTCGTCATTGCCGTCGCAGTCGCAGTCTGTTGATTTTTGTACTTTGAGATATATGTATATATATATATATATGTTTGTTCGCACCACCGCCTCTTCCAACCACTCGTTCAACTGCTGCTTTGACCATTTGGAACTGTTTTGTGTCTTTTCTATTCGTTTAATAAACAAACAAAAAATCATTTTCAAGTAGTATTTAATAATTTGATTCGATTCGCTTCACACTCGTTTCAAAAATTTTTCAAGAAACGTGAAAATGTGCAAATTAAATGGCTGAGAAAAACCACTTAAAAATCGTTTTTTTTTTTTTTTTGCATTGTTGGCTGGCCACATACAGCTGCCGTAGCTCTTTCGCACCAACAAATTGTTTACAATTTATACGTCATATACATAAATTTATATGCATGTTTGTTTGCGTGTATGTATGCATGTATATATATTTACATGCATTAACTGTTATACTCTAGAAAACAAGCACAATGGGCATTTGAAAGTGCGTAGGTAATTTGAATAATAAATGGAAGGCCTTTTTCATAGCAATGAGTATTTGTAGCAAAGCTAAGCGAGCGTTGGATTTAGTTAGTTCAGCAGCAGATTATTTTAAGAGCGCTGTTCATTAGAATTGTAGCTTACATTCGGCTTATTTAACAGATTTCAGGACTTACATAACTGTTTTTAATTCAACGCTTCTCTTAATGGACAAGCTGAGTGTAGCGCATCTAAAAGTTTTCTAAGCCCTTCACAACTTAATTCTTTTGCGCGCTTCAATTGTCTGTACAATTCTCTGTGCGTGTGTGTGTGTGTACTTGTTGTGTTTGCTTTGCGCTGCTTCCTCTTTCCACAACTATTTCGCGCTCTTGCTGCCTTAAATTGATTTCAATAAAGAATTTGTTGACTTGAACGCTTGCTCCAGCAAACATTCGCCACTTGACTTGGGCCACGCGCGCCATCTCGCTCGTGCACTCAAACAGCGTGTGCGTGTGCGTGTGCGTGTGTTTGAATGTGTGTGTGTCTGGCCACGCGACCTTGATGCTGTACATTAACCCATTAAGTTTTGTCGTGGTCCGCAATGCACGCAGCTTATGTAGCAGGCGACAGTCAGGAGGAGGAGTAGAAAGAGAGAGATAGAGAGCCAGAAGAAGCACCAGCTTGGCCAGGCGATCAGCTTACGGCGAGAGAGTTAGCATAGAGTGAAGAGAGAAAGAGAGAGGTAGTTTTCTCGTGGTCTGCAATGCACGACAGCTTGTGTAGTAGGCGACAGCCAGTAGGAGGAGGCAACAGTGTAAAACGTGGAGGTAGAAGAGAGCGAAGAGAGGAAGTGCCAGACACTGGTTTCCTACACTGCCGGCCAAAAGTTGTTGCCTAGCAGAGCTATAGAAAAGTGCCGTGTGTGGGATTTCTGTTTGCCATAGATAAAAGAGATAACAGCTGTTTGCTGGCCACGCCCACTAGCAGCACTAGCAGCAACAGCAGAAGTGATAAAAAACAACACCGAACGAAGGTCAAATATCAAATGTGATTTACTTTTAATTGCTTTTTTTGTATACTGTTTGCAAACGCAGCACGGCGACGACGAGGCTAAAAATGTGAAAAGAGAAAACGCCTCAAAGCAACAACAATAATATCAATAACAACAACAGCAACAACAACAAATATCAACAAACAACTAGCAACAGCGACGTTTCAAGTGAGGCAACCAAAGTGCCACAAGGAAATCAAATAGGAGACGCCTCACGTGCTCGTTGCATTTGGCCACGTGGCCGTGTCCAATGGCCCAGTCGGGAGCAGATGCCACAGCGACAACAACAACAGCGACGAAGCAGCTGCCGTTGACCTTTGACACAGCGAATGCAACGCGCAAATAATTGCAACAATTCAATTTGAAAGCAACGAATCGAATTAAAATTTTACGCTGCTGCTGTTCCTCGGTGTGTGCGTGCGTGTGTGTATGTGTGTGTGTGTGTATGCGTGTGTGTGTGTGTGTGAGAGTGAGTGTGTGTATGTATGTATGTGTGCAGCAGCAGCGGCTTTGTGTGGCAAATGAATTCAAGCTCCGCAAACAAAAGAAAATGCAGCTTAAGTGAACTTCCTGCGTTCACAATAACAGCAACAACAACAACAACGAGTGGGAGGGAGGCGGCGCAGGCAACGCAACTTTAGCCAATTACCAAAACCAACAGCAACAACAACAACATCAACAGCAACAACAACAACAACAAAGTGCAATGGCCGCCTCCACATCAACGCCACAAAATTACAAAGTGCCATCGACGAGCAAAATATCTGTGGATAAACTTTTACGTGTCGGCTACTACGAGCTGGAGAAAACCATAGGAAAGGGAAATTTCGCCGTAGTCAAACTGGCCACAAACATAGTGACCAAGACAAAGGTGAGTTATGCAATATATCTATATATATATATATGTATGTATATGCTGGTATATATGATCTATGACTGTATACTTTTGATATGTAGTGTAAACATACATAAACTATCTCTATAGATAGTGTAGTACTAACTATAAGATGATCTCTGCAGGACTGAATATTATATATATATATACATATTGTCTGCCTTTTTAGATAATAGATTGGTATAGAATAGATAATAGAAAATATATGAATAAATGAATAAGTGAATGGATAATCAGATCTTAGATAATACAGTATCTTTATTATCTTAAAGAAAAGTCTTCTGCAGTCCTTGATCTGTACACTTTAGATATATGTGAATCATACAAAGTTGTATATATATATATGTATATCTATCTCTTTATACTCTATATGAATCTTAAAACTGACAAATTTTAAATTAAATATTTTCCCAGAGTCCCCCGATCTATATCCATTTATTATAAATATATTATTTGTATTATATCTTTGCCTGTATGACGTTTACTATAAACTGATATAAAAACAAAGATAAGACACAAATCTTTGTTTTTATAGAGAGGTTAGCTTCGGATATAGTCTGCTATTCTCAACTCTCAGCTCAAACTCCCCATTTTGGTCAATTTGTAGTTCAAGAAACATGATTTTGGTTCAGATATTGGTTCAAGTTTCGGCTGAAAGGGACTAAACAGCGCATCTATGTTTAGCTCTAGCTTACGCGCTTGTAATTCCCAAAGTGTTAAAGCAAAGATTTGCTCTCAGTTTCTCTGAGAGATCGAATATAGCAGCCATATTAATATATATATATATATATATATATATATATATATATATATATATATATATATATATATATATATATATATATATATATATATATATATATATATATATATATATATATATATATATATATATATATCGATTCATATATCGATTTCACTCACGCATCGAATATATAGCTTATTTGGTTTTGCATTCCATTTTATTTCCTTTTATTATTGCCGTTAGGCTGCGCATTTGGCTTAATCAAATTGATTTTAGTTATTATAATTCTCTTGTTGTTATGTTTATTGCCGCGTAAATATGTGCGCATAGTATACTTAACTGTTTACTCAACTTATTGACAATACATATTTGAACTGGCTGATCGGCCAGTTGTTACTCCGATCGCCCCTCCCCTCCCCTCCCCTCCCAACCCATGTTTGCCTTATGTTTTTGCATACAATTGGTTTGAGAGCAACAGACGCAGCAGCTGCGCGTTCGGCTTTGGCTCTCAGATCAGTTGATGCTAATTGAAACGCATTTAATTCCATGTCTATCCCGCTCTACCTGCCTACGTTTTGTGCTATCTATCTCTAACGGAGAAGACACATTGGAGCCCTACCTACACACACACACACCTGCTATTGGCATCCCTTCCTCACTCTCTCTCTGTCTCTGTTTGAGGAAGTAATTAAGCTTTGTTTCGTTCTGCTTAAGATCACTTTGTTGTTATTTCTTTCCTGCTGTCAAATGTAATTTGCATTTACAAATATTTTCGAGAATAATTTCCGTAAAAACTTATCTCTTAAATGCATCTCTAAAATGGCTGGGATGCTGCATTTAATGAGTGTATGTCGTAATCAGCTGTGAGTACATTCGCACCTGTTCGTAAAATTGCTTAAAACACATTTTCATCTCTTCTGAACTACCCTAGAGGATGCAGTTTTAAAGGGTGTATTAGTTGTATAAAGAACTGTTTTAGAAAGGTCAGAAATGCCGTGGAATTTGTATAATAGGGTATTTAACAGTCGTGCAAGCACTTGAGATGCACTTGTAACAGTATCTGTGTTATATATCTTCGAATTCTTCATTTGATTGAGCTGAAATTAGTTATAAATCTGATTTGCAGGGTATTTCATAGTCATGGAATTAAATTGTTGGCACAAATTACGTTATCTAAAAGCTTTCTTAAGTGATTAAAAATATGATATAGATATGAAAGAGTTAATTACAGGGTAGTTAAAAGTCGTGCCAGCTCTTTATAAGCTACCCATATTTTATGATGCATTATGATCCAATCGGCATACGTGATTTACAGAGCATGTGATAGTCGTGCAAATGCACGTAGTGCCCTTACCACTTGCGCTCTATCAGCTGAGCGACAATTTCTCAACATTCTTTGTACATTATAAATTCCGAATGCATTTTACAGCTGCTGCAGCTAGAAGTGATAATGAGTCACCTTCAGCTGGTTAACGGGGCGCTGTGGGCTTAGGGCAAACAGACACCAACACAGCTAGAAAGACAGAGAGAGGGAGAGGGAGATATGTGTGTATGTGTGTAGACATATGTTTGTATAGAGTAAAACAACAAAGCCCACAGCTGTCACAGTGGCTGTTAACTACATGCGAACGCTGATAATTTCGACTGTCAAGTGACACAATACAGCAACAACAACAACAATTGGAACAACTGCAGCAGCAGCAACAACAACAATAACGACAATAAGCGAATGTTCTTTAATAGTTTATCACAACAATAAGTGCAAATTTGTAGGCCAAACAGAAAAATGCCTCGTTTTATGCATAATTGACAACGAATGTGAATAATTGAGAACAGAATTGAAAGAAGAAAAAAAATATAAACTGTTGTGTGCTTAGTCTCCACACGGCAGTGTAGAGATTCATCCCACAGCAGAAACAGCACGTGCCTGCAATTCAAAATGGCGGCTGGACTGATGAAAGAAAAAGGGAAAAACGAAAGCAAACAAAAGCAAAAACCAAAGCAAAAACAAAAACAAAAACAAAAACAATTTGCATATGATGCGAATATTTTATTATTTTCACTTTATTTCCATTTTCATTCTGTTTGCTTTTACAGTTCTTTATTTGTTGTTTTCCAATATGACGATAAGTGAGAGAGTAGGAGAGAGTGATGGAGAGCGAGAGGGGGCAATACACAGCTGTTTGTCAATTTCAAGGTCCACTCACACTTACTTATCTTACTTAACATTCACAATGGACACGAGACGCACGTGTGTATGTGTGTGTGTATGAGAAATGCAATGTTTAAGTACTACATGACTTTGGCTATATTATCATTGCGGTCATTAGTATTATTGCTGGCTTATCTGCTAAGCGCATTTCGCCAATAATTATTACTTTTATCAATGGGCCATGGTGTATACATTATGGTACATAGTGTGTAAACAACATCGATAAGAATGGAAGTTTGTTAAGTTCAAATCATATATTCATATGAATATTCACTAATATACAAATATATATTTATTTGATATGATATATTGAGCTTGCCTTGGCGATAAGTCAAAAAAGTTTTGTTTTTAACTTTGATTTGTTAAACATTTGATAGAAAGTAATAAGTTTGCGTATAAATGGTCGAGAATATTGGTATAAACTTTTATGTAAGCAGAGTAATATTAAAAAAGAAGTGCTGCCTCTCTTTTCGATTCTCATTAGGTTAAGTAAGTGTAGTTTGTTATTCAAAAGACCGATAGACAGGCAGACGAAGTCTTAGAAAGAGTTAGAAAGCAAGACAGAGAGAAAAATAACGGGGTAGAGAGAGATAAACAATCCAGAGATGAGAAGAGTTACAGAAAGATGATAGAAAGTGACAAAAATAGAGATCTAGTGAAATGACGAAAGAGAGCGAGAGAGACAAACAGAGAGACAGAGAGAAAGAGAGAAATATAGAAATATGGCAAGAGTGAGAGGCTTGATAGAGAAAAGTAAAGAGAGATAGAGAGAAATAGATAAAAGTACTAAAGAAGATAGGGACAGATCTACAGAGAAAAAGATATAGATAAGCATATACACAAAAAAAGAGACAAATACAGATTGACAAAGAGATATAGAATGAGAAATAGGCGGAGAGATAAAGGCAGATGATAGAAAAAAAGAGAAACAGACACAAACAGAAAACAAGTAAGAAAGCTCTAGTCGGGGTGCCCGACTAGGAGATACCCTGATCCCAGTCCTTTGAGTTTTGTAATATTTTCCGTAGTTTGTATCGAGTATTAAGAAAAAAAAAACAAATAAAAATCGACATTGCGAGACCAGGATTCGAACCCGGATTATTTACGCAACGTGCACAAACTCTACCAACACCGCCACTTCATAACTAAAAAAAAAATAAAACAATAAAAAACATTTCATTTCCACTGGTCTCGAACCCGGACCAAGCTGCATGCGAGCAGCCTCTCTACTAACGCAGCCACTGTCCTTCATACGCGAAGTGTTGCAAATTTGAACATAAGTAGCAGCTAATAATTCAGCACAATTCAATCGCAATTTCAATTCTTGGAATAGAAAAGAATACACGCATTTGAATGTATGTGTGCACATGCATAGGAAAAATGCGTGCGCGTGGCGCTGCTGACATGTGCTTTTGCAAATTGGCCAAACGTTTTGTTTAATAACTTCTGTTTTACTTAATGGATTTTAATGAAATTTTCAGCATATGATCTACATATCCTATTGGCTTGGTTGAGATGCAAACGCCTTCACATAATGGCCCTAGTTCCAACTAAACTTAAATTTTAAGAATTTGGGGGAATTTGGAGCCGGTATCCAAAATCTAACAAAAACCAAAATTGCATAAAATATACATAAGACTAAATACAAAATTTGGAGGCTCTAGCTCCTAAGACGTTTGAGATATAATTTATTTATTGCATTTCAATAATGTTTTTATTCGATAACAATTAAATGCGAATAGTTATCGAATATTTGAAACAAACTTGACCTGCGCGTGCTATACACGGACCTACAAAAAAAATTTCAAGTCTCTAGCTCTTATAGATGCTGAGATCCACGCGTTCACACATACGGACAGACGGACAGACGGACGGACAGACAGACGGACAGGGCTCAATCGACTCGGCTTGTCGTCCTGATCAAGAATATATATACTTTATGGGGTCTGCCACGCCTCCTTCTGCCTGTTACATACATTTGCACAAAACCATTATACCCTGATTTCCCATTTTTAATGGGATCAGGGTATAAAAAGACTGACAGAGACAAATATATAAAGAATATATATATATATGTATATATATATATATATATATAAATATATATATATATATATATATATATTCCCCTTTCAAGTAACTTTAATGCATCCAAGTATTTAAAAAATATAGAGACATAGAGCAGGTGTATGCCACTCAGTGAGAGAGAGGATATGTAAGCTATTGCCACTCCTCTTTCCCTAGAGATATTTATATAAACCAAACGTAAAGTTTGTGCTATGCATGCAGTAATTAAAAACTAAAAGAAATTAAAAACTTTTGCCTACACTTAAAAGTGGAACTGCTTTATCAACTACTAAGCGAGATATCTATTTAATTAGGCCCTTTATGAATTTTCTCTGGGTTTCTCCTGCGCCAACTATATCTTTATTCATGAAATTTATTTATCGGCGACGAAATAAATTCCACTTTCAATCAATATTTGGTCTGTCTAGCCGAACTCAATGCAAATTGTTTCGAATCCCTTTTTTAATTGGCTTACCTTGTGCCTGAACTGATTAATTGATTGATTGATTGATTGATTCTGATTGAACATGGAAATTTTAATTGAATTTATGGCGCGTGCAAGAATTTAGGCTTCAGGCATTCCGCTGATTAACGCTCCAATTGTGACAAACTGGAAAATTTCAAGTGATTTTTATTTTTTACAAAAACTGCTTAGAAACTGAGAAGAGTATATAGGTATTTGTATATATGAGATGTATGAAATATAGAAGCGTTTAAGTCTTAAGACTTATTGCTTATATGGCTATTTCTTCAGCTGAAGATAGAACTACCAAAAGTTATACAACTTTATATATAAATCTATAAGTGATGTGCGCTTGATGAACACTCCGCTGAACACTGGAACGAGTATACTGCAGTCAGTTGTGCCCGACTGTAACATTTCTCCTAGTTGCTTCTATTTGTTTTCTTTTCTTTCTTTCGTTTTTCTTTTTTTTATTATTTTCAAGCCCGCCAACTCAGCAATATTATTTTTATAATAATAATAATAATAATCATCACGCTCCCGTTGCGCACTGAGGCAACATTGATTGATCATTCGCTATGGCCAAATATTTAACTTGAGCTCACGCTGTCTGGCCACGGCATCGAGATCTCCAACTTGTTGCTGGTCGCTCGCAGATCGCAGCTGAAATATATATATATATATAAAGGCAACACATATATAAATCACATATATATATATATTTATATATATATATATGTATATTTATATATATTATATGGCTTTACGACTCAGTCGCATGGCTGCCCAAATCGTTTAACAATTTTTATTTACTTTTTCATTAACTATTTCGCAGCTTTTGTTGTTTTTTTTTTCATTCGTTGTCTTCTTTTATTTTTTTTTTTTTCGTCTGTCTGGCGCTTTTTTGCCCAACAAGGTTTTTTTTCTTGCTTTTGTTTTTTTTTTCATATTTGCTGTCTCGTTTGCACCGCAGTTGGCGCAAAGTAGTAGTCGAAATACCCTGTAAATTTGCGTTTAATAAGAATTGCCTCGAAGTAAATGATGCTTAAATTGAAGAGAGTTGCAAATACCCTAAATTATATATATATATATATATATATATATATATATATATATATATATATATATATATATATATATATATATATATATATATATATATATATATATATATATATATATATATATATATATATATATATACATAATATATATACATAATGTTCACATGCTCTGCAGCTTATTACATCTTATACATTTCACTCAGCACTATTTTCGAGAATTTCCTCTTTGATCTTAACGTTTTGTTTGCCCAAGCTTGCATTGAGCTTGGCATATCTTCTCTAAAACTTTTACAGGGTATTATTTTGGGTTAGCTATCATGTTTAGCTATCTAATTTATTGTTGATTCGCGCTTCAATTTGCTTTACGTCTGCAACTTGTTGTTGTGGCTGACACACACACTCGATAAACATTCGCATTCATATGATAACAAGCGCGTTATCAAAATACGCTTCCAGTCGTAAATTAACAACAACAACAAAAACAACAACAATACTACGTAAACAACGCAACAATTTGCGAATCAATCACGTGCGCAGTTACTTCATAGACTCGCCCTCACTCACTCCCTCTATTTCGGTTTCTCTCGCTCTGTCTCTCTCTCTCGCTCTCTCTCACTCTATCTCTCTCTCCTTTCCTTCTTTCTCCTCAGTCATTTGAACACTTTCTATAAATGATTTATCGCTTTGCTTGACTAAATGTCAAAGGCTCCATCTACGCATTAAATGTCTTGTTTTTTATACATATATAAATATATTCTAGTAAGCTACTGGCACTTGTCCTTACGCTAAGTAGGCCAGAGCTATGAAATTTGTATTAATCGATTTTCTCTAGCGGCGCAAGCAATTGAGGGAAATTGTTTAAAGCAACGCCTAAGTTAACCCAAATAAAGTTTAGCGACCCTTGGCATAAAAACGCGGTGCACAAGGGTTAAATGAGAGCGCAAGTGAAAGAGTGTGAGAGAGAGACACACGAGGGAGAGAGAGAGCTAGAGCGAGAGAGAGGCAGCATCAATTGCAGCAGCCGGCGCAGCAGAGGAAAAGTGGGCGCGTTTCAGCTATTGATTAAACATGAGCCAGGTGTAGCGAGGCGGTGTGGTTGGGCTGGCAACACACGTTTGATTACCGCGTGTAAACAGCAACAACAACAACTAAAGTAGCAACAGTAACAATACAAGTTGCAAGGACTCGCCTGCATTGTGCAACATTTGTGTGCCGCCAACGTTTGAGGCAAACAGGTCACATGTCGGCGAAGCGCGTGGAACACGATATTGAGGCAAGTGCCACGCCTTCAGACGGCAAACACAAGGCGCCCTTTAAGCCGCTGCGTGCCGAAAAGAAGCCAAAGGCCACGCCCACCAGCCTTCTGTGCGAACTAATGCGTTTGAAGGCACAGCAAAAGTATCTCGAATGCAATCAAGTCAAACTGAATGCCAGCCATTTTCTCGACGACAGCGACCCTGAGGCAGATGGCGAGCACGAGGACGCCGACAAGGATAATGCCGGCAAGGATGGCAAGTCTGTGTCGGCTGGCAGTCGCCGGCCTTCGAGCGGCAATAAAGTCGCTGGCCTCATCAATGACATTGATCGACTGAAGCTGGAAATGGATGAGAAGCTGCGCAAGCATCAGGCCGACAAACGTGGCCAGCTGCAGGAGATGTGGCACTATATGAATACGCTGAAAGAGGACGTCTTTCGGCCGGAACGCCTCAGTCTCTATACGGTGAATGTGGTGCGAGAGCGCATCATTGCGCTCAATGGTCAGCTGGAACGCTTGAATGTCCAGAATGCCAAAGAGCTGGAGCTGCTGCGAGAGGAGTACACGAAAATGGAACGCGAGAACGAATTCGTCTGGAAGGGAAGCATTTGAGAAATGCTAAAGAGAATATATTTTCTATATTTATAATAAAAAGAAATTTAACTTGATTTTGAATCAGAATAGTTCCATTTGAAAGCACTCATATGGAAAAGAAAGCTATAAGGCAAAAAAAAAAAAAAAAAAAAAAAAAAAAGAACTAGTTCCGCAAGAACTGATTTAGCTGATGTCAAAATTGTATTGATATAGAAGAGCAGCTTCTGAATCAATAATCTTGCATCAGTTTAGCTAACAGTCAAAAGTTCATATGAACTAGTTCCATCTCAAAATACTCGAATTTATAATATATCAATTATTAACAAATACTTTATTAATTCTGAATCCACAAGGATTCCTATGAACTAGTTCATTTTAATTGTGTTCTTATGAACCATAATTTTTGTAATTAAGATTCGTTAATGCTATCGTGGCAAACATTCGTTAATACGATACCATACTAATTCTGAAAAAAAAAACTGAAAACAATTATTCAACTGAACTAGTTCCATTTAATAATACGCTTACATCTAATGTCATCAGTTGACAATTTAAATAACAAGTTAAGTTTAAAAAGATCTCTTTCTAAAGCTCAACGGAGCTCCTCTTGATTGAACTAGTTCCACGTCCTAAATCTCCTTTCATTTTGTAATTTCAATTCAAGCGAGAGCGAAAGCCTTAAATGTAAATTTATGTTTCAGCTTTTAAGTTAATTCGACTTCTAAATTGTGAACCGTGAACGATTCAAATGAGTCACAGCTTTGGCAATCAAAAGGAATTTACATTTTGTAATAGCATTTAGCATTCGCTTTTGTTGTTGTTGTTGTTGTTGTTGTTGCTGCTGTAGTCCTCCAGCCTTTAAATCAATATGTGCGCCAAGGAGCAAACCTTTCTGCCTTGTATTCGCCTTGGCTATATATTATTTTCCTTTTTATTTTGTGTTATGCCAAGCGAAGGATATCCAAATGTGACATTGTGGACGTTGTTGTTGTTGCTGTTGCGCTTACTTTGAATGTCCCATTTAGTAGCGTTTGTTCTTAAGGTTCATCGCATTCGCGGCAAAAGGTCAAAATGGCACGTGGCAATGGCATTTCGCAACGATATAAAATTTTGCCTTGTGTGCCCATCAGCAGCTGACAAAACAATTGTCTCAATGCAATTATTGTGTGGTACATCATTTGCAGTCTATGGGAGAGGAGGCGCCTACTTTTGTAATAACATATTTTATTAATCCAAAACTTTTAATTGACTTGACCTTTCAATTGTGTATAATATGATGATAGTTTACCATGATTATATACATTACTGTAGAGTTGAATCGATGTAGTCCATCAGTCTGTCTTCCACAGCCCCCTATCTGTCTGGCTAATAATGTTGAATCTATCAATCTTGCCTAATTAAAGTATTACATTATAGATACCTTCGCACGTATCTGAATTTGTATTCCCATCTAGAATATTTCCATATCCTTTTATCTCACTCTTTATCTAGATAGCTCTGTATCGATCTGTTAATCCATCTCATTGCCTTTCTATCTGTATATCTTCCACCCTATCTTGTGCTTATATTTATTTTCTTTAATATTAAAAATAAAATTAAATATTTTTATTTATTTAAATATCCCCATATATCTATCCAGTTCTCTGTCTATCTTCATATAGATGTAGCTATTTATCTATATATATATTTTCTCTCTCTCTCTTTACATATATAAAAAATATACTCACCTTAATATTCGCTGTGTTATTGTGCTCAGTCTAACTACTATTTTCATGAGCAGAGCTGTATAAAGATATATATTTATATATTTATCCAGCTTCCTTCTACATCTACAGCCTTCCCTTTATATATTTTCTATCTCTTAACTACCTATCTATACATATATATTTATTTACATTTATTTATCTATCTATATACAGATAGGTTTATTGTTTTCTTTTTATATATTTATATACATATATATATTTTTAGTACATTAATCACGTGGCAAATGTAATTAGCAAACAGTTGCTCAAACCAAAAAAAAAAAAAAACTCACAAATTGGCAAATGACACAGCAGAAAATATTACGCATACGCCAAGTGTTGCAGTAACAAAAGTTTTTTGTCTTTCTCTGAATAACAGCAATAGCATATATTTAAAAAAAGTATTATTTTAATTTATTGATTATCAAAAAAGAATTGATTCAAACACGTAGGCGGAGTTGAGTAGCGAAACAATTGAAATATTACGCATACGCCGTGTGCTGGAAATTTAGTTTCAAATGCTTTTGTTCCTGTTATTTATTTATATTCAATTATTGCATGCGAGTGGAGCAACAACAGAAAGTGCTGCTTAAGGCTTAATAGCTAAACGGCCAGAAAACTCAAATTGTTTAAATGTTGAGGCAGCGACAACAGCAACAATAACAACAAATTGAAAAACCGGTGTGAGGTTCATCATGATGTTGCTGTTGTTGCTATAAGAGCAACTGATCTACCTCTCTCTCTCTGTCTCTCAGTTTGTATTGCTCACTCTATCGTGCACACATACCATACGCTTGATTGTTAATTATTTCAGTTTTTTGTTAAATAATTATTGAAATGCTTGGCAGAAATACAAAAGCAAATAAACGGACAACGTTGTCTAAAGTCGTGTGTAAAGAATGTTTTTATTTTTTTTTGTTGACTCTGCTTCTTCTGTCTGCCCAGCCCCATACGCCTCGGCCCGATTCCCTGTCCCCATCGTCATCATCATCATTGTCATTGGCAGCACCTCTCTTACTATAACCACACAGAATTTAACACTCGCGCCATCTTTGGCGTTGTTGTCGTCGTCGTCGTGCTTGTCGTGTTTGCTGCTGCTGCCGCCGCTGTGGTTGTTGTTGCTGCTGCTGCCGCTGTGGCTGCAGACAGTGCGCCACCTACCACCTGACCCCCAGCAACAAATGCGGCCGTGCTATCCCAGCCGAGACACGTTTATTTCTTGTCTCTTTTTTCTTGAAATACTCTTACGCAGGGCATTATGGCAACAAGTGACGTTTTGTGTAGCTCTTGAAGAGGTACTACAAATGTTTAGATCTTTGGCTATATATTTAATGTAAAGATTTTACTGTGCTTACATTTATTAAAATTATTTATAAGAATTTTTTTGATATTTTATTATAAATTAGATTTTTCGATTTTTGATTTATTTTTATGCTGTTATATAAAATATTTACTATACTACTACTATCTTCTATATTGCCTATAAAATTTAATAATTATTTTTTTTTTAATCATAACTTAAAAAAAAAATAAATAAAAAAAAAATAAAAAATATAAAAAATTTATTTCAAAAATGTAACGTATTTTCAATTTCGTTTTTAATATATTATAGAACATTTTTAAAATATTTTTTTTTTCAAGATTTAAAATATTTTGTATTATAAATATTGTTTGAATAAAATAAAAAAATGTATTTAAAATATGTACATTTTTTTAAATTAATATTTATATTATAATTATATTTTATATATTTTTCAACTTCGTTTTTAATATATTATAGAACATTTTTAAAATTTTTTTTTCAAGATTTAAATATTTTGTATTGTAAATATTGAAAAATATACATTTAATATAAAATATAAAATATAAAAAATAAGTATTAAAATATATTTAAATTAAATTCTAAATTCTTAAAAATATTTATAGTTTATTATAATAAAATATAAAATATATGTTTTATTTATATATGTATATATAGAGCTGAATCTCTAGAAAAAAGTGAATGATTTGATAGAAGTTTGCTTTTGATTATAAATCTAATCAAGCTTTCTACTAATTCACATATTATATATAGAGTATAAAAGATCCATAAAGTACAGGTTATATCAATCATTATAAAATGAATCAAAAAAGTACTTTTGAAGTGTATTGACTAGTCGTGGTATGGTTAGTTCCTGGTATTTGCTCTTGTTACTGGGAGCGCAAGATGTTGTCAGCAGCCCACACAGCATGAATTTCTTGCTGGCTCTCGGTTCGCTCTCGTTTGTCAATCGTCGCATTCTCCTTTTCAGCCCGGTTCGTTCACCTTCTGGTGCCAAACCCAAAAGGCACATATTTTGTTTGCATTCATATCCGAATTATTGTTGTTGTTTTGTCATTGTAAATTATAAACGGTGCCTGACTGATGTGAGCTGTTTTGTTTCCTGTACTCTAAAATTCCAGGTGGCCATCAAGATCATCGATAAGACATGCCTCAACGAGGAATACCTGAGCAAGACGTTTCGCGAGATATCGATACTCAAATCGCTGCGTCACCCGCACATAACGCGCCTCTACGAGGTGATGGAATCGCAGTCGATGATCTATCTGGTGACCGAATATGCGCCCAACGGCGAGATCTTTGATCATCTGGTGGCCAACGGGCGCATGAAGGAGCCGGAGGCGGCGCGTGTCTTCACACAGCTCATCTCGGCGGTGCACTATTGCCATCTGCGTGGAGTGGTGCATCGAGATCTCAAGGCGGAGAATGTGCTGCTCGACAAGGACATGAACATAAAGGTAAGCAGCAAGACTTGGACCGACTATAGCCGAACTCTAATATCCCAATATCCCTTACAGCTGGCTGACTTTGGCTTTAGCAATCACTACGAGGAGGGCAGTCCGTTGCGCACGTGGTGCGGCTCACCGCCCTATGCGGCGCCCGAGGTGTTTCAGGGCCTGGAATACGATGGCCCCAAGTCGGATATCTGGAGTTTGGGCGTAGTGCTCTATGCGCTTGTCTGCGGCGCATTACCCTTCGACGGCAAGACCATATTGGAGCTCAAAAGTCGCGTGGTGCAAGGCAAATTTCGTATACCCTTCTTCATGTCGCAGGGTAAGTCGCCCCCGCTCATTCCCCATATATGAGAACAGCTCTAAACATTTGTATTCCATTTGGTAGATTGTGAGCATTTGATACGAAATATGCTCGTCGTGGAACCAGATCGTCGTTATACCATCAAACAGATCATCAAACATCGCTGGCTGAGCGACTGGCAAGCGGAGCTGCAGCAGGAGGAGCGTCTGGATGTCAGTGCGCTGCCTTTTGGCACTGGCCCGCAGCTGCAGTCCAGCTCGTTGGGCAGTTCGACTACATCGCTATCGGGCGCTGACAGCTCAGAGGTCTCGTCGACACCTCAGCTGGATGCTGTGGTCATGACGCACATGCTGCAGCTGCCCGGCCTGACGGCCGATATGATTGCGCAGTCGGTGCATGAGCAACGCTTCGATAACATCTATGCCATATACAATCTGCTGCAGGACAAGCTGCTGCAGAAGCGACGCGAAAACCAAAGACTGCAGCATCATGCAAACCTTGCCTACTCCAGATCCCGCAAGACAAGCATCACCACTGGCGTTGTGGATCGCTCGGAGCCCGTCAAACAGGAATCTCTCGATCGGCTCAGTCCGCTGAACAGCAATGTGAATGCCTCCAATACGGCGCTGGGCTTTGGCTGGTGTGCCGACGTCGGCGTCGATTTGGAGAAGTTCGGCGACTTTGAGCTGGAGTGTCTGGCGCGTTCCAATGAGGTGAGGCTACACAGACTCAGCTATCAATTGTAGCCAATTAATGACAACTTTTTACCTGTTTCAGCCACCTGTCAATTCGCAGCACTTGAGTGCCACGGCGGGTGGCACTTCTGGTGCCAATACGCGTCGCCACACGGTCGGACCGGGCGATGTGGCACACGAACAGGCGCTGGCCAATCCTCAGATGCCGCCCATTGACTTCAAGTGTGCGCCGCAGTGTAACGATGCGGGCCAAGCGACGCTCTACTATCCCACAAATTTGCCCATGCTGCAGAATCAGCCGCTGCACAATTTGACCATCAAGGATCAGCATCTGCTCAAGCCGCCCGTTGTCATGGGTGCCAGTAAGTCGCAATGTCCTTACGTACTAGCATGTGTCACTAATCGTTGGCCTTTCATCAGGCTCGTTTGGACGACGCGCCTCGGATGGCGGCGCCAATCTACACATTTATTACCCCGCCAGCATTTCGGCGGGCAACAGCGGCGTTGCAGCCACTCCACAGCAAATGGACACCACGGGCTATTACATCAATGCCAATTTGAATAACGCGCCCGGCACATCGGAGCTGTCGCCGCTCGGGGAACAGACGCCGGGCCAGCTGCACTGCTGTCCGGAAAATAGCGGCGAGGAGTGCAGCGAGGAAATACAAAGGCAAAGCTCTGATCTTTGATCGCTTGCTAGACTGAAGTGACTCACGACATTCCTCTTTATAGATACATGCAGAAACGTGGTTGTGTTAAGCGCCATACCGTGGGCTGCACCGAGGATCTGTCCGTTAGCCATAGTCCCGGGGAAATGGGTCACATGCAGGTGGGCCAGCCAGGTGCACAGGCCCAGACGCCCACCGGCAATGGTGCAGGCGGTGGGAATATGCGCACCCGACGCACAGGTCTGCTGACCGTTACGGAACGACCGCCAGGTACGTTATATATATATATAATAGGATTACAACAGCTGTTGCAGCTAGCTGTTAAGTGTATTCCCTCTGTTCTTTGAAGTGTTTTAAAGTTGTGGCTACAGAGTGTAATAGTTGACCTTTCTTATGAGGCTGTAAATCAAAGTTAACCTAAAACCTTGGCCATGGCTGTTGCTGTTTATCAAAGAGTCTCAAATATCCCTAAAAATATCAGAAATAGAAAAGGGAAATAAATAAATGAAAGTAAATTAGCAAATGTGTAAGACAAAGGAAGTACGGAAAGGAAGTTAAAAAAAGGTGGGAAATTCTTAACAATTTCATTAGGAGAAAAAATGATAAAAGAGAGGGAAATTAAAAATTAATTTACAAAGGAAAAAATTACAAAATAAAGCGAAACTATAATAATATATTAAAATAAAAGGAAATTAATAATAAAGGGAAATTAATAGAAGTTTAATTAATTAATAGAAGTTTAATTAATTAATAATTCTGTTAGGAAAAATTGCAAAATAAAGGGAAATTAATAATAATTCTGTTAGGAAAAATGTTAAAATAAAGGGAAATTAATAATAATTCTGTTAGGAAAAATTGCAAAATAAAGGGAAATTAATAATAAATTTACTAAGTAGAAAAATGAAAAAAATAAAGAAAATAAAAAAATAAATATAAAATATAAAAAAAAATAAATAGAAAAAATGGGAAATAAACTAAGTAAAAATAATGACAAAATAAAGGGAAATTATGAATAAAAGTTTATTAAGCAGGAAAAATTACAAATTATGGGCAAGTTAATAAATTAATAATAACAAATATGAAACCAAATATCAAAAACATAAATCAAAAGGAAATGTACGAATAGATGGGAAATAAATAAATGAATTAAACAAATCAAATATTAGTCTATGCTACAGGGCTTATTGAACATACAATGCTGCCTCGCCTCGGTCGCCACGCCCTTTAATTATTTGTCCTAAGTTTTTCATATACATTAACGCTTTCTAATAGCTTTGATTTCACAAATGATTTCTTTAGTTTTATAATTAATATTTAAATTAATTTTTATTTACTTTGATTTTTGCTTATTTTTTTTGTATTTCTTTTTATGATTTTTCGGATATTTTTGGTTAATTGCCTTGCGCGTAACTCGCTTAAAAACAAAAACCGCCAACGCCTGCTGCACAACAACTGCAACAACAACAACAACAACCAATCAATCAACTGCCGCTGCTGCTGCTGCTGCTGCTGCACGCTTGAAACCCTCTCGCACACTCACCTGCTCACCTCACCTCAGTCATTTGCCCTGAGCTAATACGCGAAGTTGAATCTCGCATGAATCGCGACTATTTGCCGCCCACACTCAAATCGCTTAGCCAATCCCCGCCCAATGCGGCCACATTTGGCTTGGGCGTCGCCATGGCTGGCTCCGGCGCGCCACATTCGTTGCCATTGAGCATAGCTGGGGTGGGCGGTGGCAGCAGCTCAGTGCCGCTCGTAGTAGCGCCCCCAACGGCGGCTAACAATCGACGCGCCTATCGCGCCGCCCACTGTAAGCTGCCCACTGTGCAGGAGGGTGGTAAGTGGTCTAGCTCCAATGCGGTTGCCCATCAAACCGATGTTCATGGAACTCCGCTCAAGAGTTTTTACTAATTTCATTTCTCTCTCTGCTTTCTTTCCCTCCCGCTCTCTCCTCACACGCTGCCGCTTAGCGACTATAGGACGCTACAGTCCAGTGCGTCGCGCCTCGGAGGGCTCACGCTCACAGTTCCAGGGGCCGCTGCAGGAATGCCAATCGCTGCAAAAAGGTATCGCACAGAGAAATTTTTTGGTTGCACCCAGTCCGCCGCTTTTAGAAAATTCGATCAGTCTGCCAGGTAAGCCAAAGTCCAAGCTCGTTAGGCAAAACACAAGAGATTCCACTCTCTCTCTCTCTCCCTCTCTCTATAACTAACTGTCTCGCTTCGCTTTGGCAGGCTCGCCCATACATGGCAAACCCACGAACTTGCAGCTGGCTTTGCGTCGCGGTCACGACATTGAGGTGCCGCCGGAGGCGATCAAGAATCTGATGCCCGCCTTGGATCGTCTGGTGAAGGAGCAGCGCGTCAGCTTCGAAATTGCCAAAAAGATAATCTCATCGAATGTGGTGCCCATTGATTTGGCGCCGCAGCTGGGCCTGGCGGCCCATGCGGCGAGTGGTGCAGCGGTCAGCGGTGGCTATTTGGATCAGTCGCATCTGCACCAGCCGCAGCCCATGCATAGCTACAGTGTATCGCCGTTGACGCTGCCGCACGGTCCCAACGCCTCGCTCACTTCCGCCAAGCAGATGTTCGGCCAGCCCATCTGCGGCTATCAGTATCAGGCGGCGACGACGACCGCGACGATGGGTGTTGCAGCAGCTGGCGGTGCGGCGCTGTCGCTAACGCTGCCATTGCAGCCGCAGCAGCTGGTGGGTCAGTTCAGCAGCATCAATTTGGGAGCCAGCAACTCGAACAGCAGCAGCGGCTGCCAGTCGCCCGTCTACAGTGGCTGCCTTGCGAACAGCAACAGCAATAGCAACAGCGGCAGTGGGTTCAGCGGCAGCTGCTCGCCCAATCCCAATCCGTATCTGCCCGGCACTGGGCCATTCAGTCCCTGTGTGAATGCGAATGCTGTGGCCGCAGCCACCTCGCCGCTGCATCAGATCACCAAAGGCATCTCTGGCTTGAGCACAGGCGGCGGCTCGATCACGCGCGGCACCTCCGCTGCCAGCGAAGGCGTCGCCCAGCAGCCGCTCGACTTGTCCATGGACGTGTGCAGCATAGATCAGCCGGCTGACTACGCCAGCACACCGAACTGGTTTATACCCACGGCAGCGTATTATGACCTAAAGCCCTTAAATCTATCGCCGGCACAGCCAGTGCGTGTTGTGCCCACGCCGCCGGCATCGCCCAATTTGTGCATCATCCAAGAGGAGAACGGCAATGGACAGATGTGCCATACCATCAGTACGGGCACACCATATGCGGGCTGCACTGGTGGCATAACGCCACAGATATGCCTAACCGATGTCCAGGGCAGTGAGATAACGCTCGTGGCGCTCTCCTCGGATAACAGCAGGGACAGCGAGGATTCGCTGGAGCCGCAAACGCCGATTATGTCGCTGCAGGTAAACTTTGATGAGCAACTCTGGCTTATGGCTAAGACTAAGACTTTCCCTTTTCCGAACAGGGCCTGATCATTACCGAGGCGAGTAGCGATATGCCATCCATAACGCGTGGCATTGGACGCAAGGCCAGCTTGGACTGTGAGCCGATGGGCTCCAATCATGGCCATGCTGGCCAGAGTTCGGCACAGGCGGAGGCGCATAGGCGTGGCAGCGATAAATCGCTGGGCTTCTCCGATGATTCGCTGAGCAACGATTCGAATAATTTGTCACCCTCCTGCCAGGAGCCGTCGGCCAGTTCGGGCTTCAAATCCGACTCACATTCCGAAATGGGCGATCACACCGAGTGTGGTCATCTGACGCCCGACTCCATGTGCGACTCGCGTCGCATGTCAGACGAGATGTGCTACGAGGTGCCGTTGCCACACGAATGCTCCAACTTGGACTCGACTCGCATACTCGAGATGGTTAAGCAGACAATCGATTCGACTATGCCGCCCAAGGGCTTTGTGCTGCACAAGGGCAGCATTAGCTCGGAGGATAGTGGTGCCGAGTCGCGTCATAGCAGCGCCTCCAATGCCTCCAGCGAAGCGATGCCGCATGCCGCAGCCAACAGCAGCACTAGCCACAACACTAGCAACAGCAATGCGCCAGCCTGCAACACAGCCAGCTATGCTGAGCCGACCACGAATCTGAGTCTGGAGTACTCCGGTGGCCTGCAGATCGAGCTGCAGGTGTGCGAGGGGCGTAGTCGGGATCATCATGGCGCTGCCAAGGGCATCAAGCTGAGGCGCATCTCGGGGGATCAGTTCGAGTATGGTAAAATATGCCAGCAGCTGATTAGTACCATTACCATGCAACAGGTGGCGGGCTAAGGCTCAGGCATTGTAGCCAATATGTATGTGTGCCTGTGCGTGTGTGTGTGTGTACATGTGTATGTGTGTTACTGTAACTGTATCTCTGTGTGTCCCGTAGCTTAGAGAAACCAAACGTAAATGACTCGCCTTGCCTATAAACTCTGCGTAGCTGTGATTTAAGCCGATATGTACATATATAGAGTGCATATAAATATGTAAAGTGTGTGTGTGTGTGTGCGTGTCAAAAGAGAAGAGAATAGAAAGGAGAAAAGAGAACAATTAATTCAAGCAGCCGTACGAATACACTATAAGCAATTGAGAAAGATAACAGATAAACAGTTTTCCTTGTTCAGTTTACGTTTATTGTTATTGGAAATTGTTGACGATTTTGTTAATTAGATCTGTTCCTCGAATCACTTTGTAACTTTAATCAAAATTTTAATTATCAATTTGCATAGTACTGTTAACTATATAGATAAATAATTATGCATTTTTTTCAAATTTTTATAGCTCCGATTTTAGCTGTATATACGATATAAACCAATATATATATACGATAGATATATATATATGTATATGTAGCTATGATAATGCACCTTAGGCTTAAAACAACCAACTAGATATATCTATATATATACACACATACACACACACACGCGCGCATACGCACACGCACATACATAGCCAAACAGGCAGGTTTTTATATCCAACTTGAACTATATATATTTTATAATTATTATTTTATTTGTTTACATTTTTTGGAACAACTCAAACGAAAACAATTTAAATGCATTCCAGTAGCTAAATTTTTTTCATACATTTTCTGACGTTCTAGTGGTAATTAATATGTAGTGAATAGTTAAGTCTACTATATATAATTTTTAATGCTGTGCAATTCGATATGGCAAATGTGTATAGCGCTAACGATTCTGCACGATTTCGATTGCAACAAAACAACTTTATTCTAGAAAGATAACGATGATGAAGGTAATTTGTGTAGTTAGTATGCAGTTTTTGCTCCGATATTCGTAAGCATTATATGTGTAAGCCTCTTTGATTCCGTAACATTTTAAAAGTTTATGTATTTAGTAAAACTTTGTTCGTTTGTAAAATGGTTAGTAATGGCGCCTTCGATATGCGTTCAAATTGAATTAAACACAAATTGAGAAATCTATTATTAAAAGACTGCTGTGATTTTAAATATAATTAACTATTTAGTTCAGAAAACAAAATACAAACAAAACAAAACAAAACAAATGAAAACAAAAACAAAAATAAACAAGAAAACCAACAAATAAACAACAAGAACTTAGTTATACATATGATTACATAATAAATAATTCAACTTTATCTTAAATAAATTACCAACTCTCCAAACATTATATCAAATGTTGTACAGTTAGTTTACCTTCATTTAATATTGTATTAAAGCTCTAAAAATGTCATTTCAAATTGCGCGCCAAAATCATTTTGCGCCATCTGCCGGCGCCAAAATAATGTTACCTGCTAAGCAGAGCTGCATTTAACAGCACTTATCGATTGCAGAGTATGGTAATCGATAGCTGAAAAAGAAGCAGCAGATTGTTTTGATGCTAAATTTGTAATATTGTGCGAATTTTATGTTTTTTGTTCACGCATCTAATGGAATAATCAATACAAAAATGATTTGCCGTCTGTGCCTGAACAGCGCCAGCGACACCATTCAAATATTTGAAGGCGTCGGCTTGTCCCTGAACGTTGCCACAGTGCTGGCCAAATATTTCTGGTTCGAGGTAAAGTATTTGTATAAACACATATTTCAATTTGGCAATTGTAAACACAAAACACATAAATCTAGCCGAAATGTGATGATCCCATATCGACGGACATCTGCGTGGGCTGTTGGAAGCGCGTCAGCGATTTTAATGAGTTCTACGCAAGTGTGGAGAAGGCGCATCGCCTGCTCACCGAAAGATTCTCAGTCAAAGTAGCCGAGCAGCAGGAGAGAGAGGAACGGCTTCTTAGCAGAAGCAACACTGACCAGCAGAAGCAGGAAGAGCAAGAAAAGGAGGATTCGAGAGATTTTCTCATGCACAGCGAATGCGGTGCCGAGGAGGATTTGACAAATGAAGAGCATAAGCCCACAGTGGAGGCTTTGTATGCGAGTGGAAATGAGAGCGATGCAGCGGCATCGTTTAGCAATGAGCAGTTTCTCAACGATGTGCTGGCCCAGCAGGTAGAGCCAGATGTTGATGCTGACGCTGACGCTGTTGCTGATGCTGATGGTACCGCAGACGAACAAGTGCCGAACACTGAGACTGTGAAGCAGGAACGCCGAGAAACGCGCTCAACACGCTCCAAGAGCAAAGCTCAGCAAGTGACAGAAGCAACAACTGCTGCAGCTGTTGCTGCGGCGACTGCTGCAGCGGAGCAGTCAACGCCGACCAAACGTCGAGGCAGATCGAAAGCCGAAAAAGTTAGCCCCAATGCTGAAGAAGAATTGCCGAAGAACAAACGCTATGTCGACTATAAGAAATCGATGTTAGAGATCGATGAGAAAATAGCACAACATATGCGACTCACCTGCAGCATTTGCCACGAGGGACAGGAGACATTTCTGACGCTCTGCAAGCATATGATGACGGTGCATCATCGCAAGGGCTATGCGGTCTGCTGCAACAAGAAGTTCTATAAACGTTCCTTCCTCACCGACCACATCGATCGGCACTCGAATCCCGAGAAATTCAAGTGAGTGGTAAACTCGACAATATCGTCCCAAACGACAGCTCAACTTTTGTATATTCCGCTAACGATTCATCTCTTTGCCTCAGGTGCGAATTGTGCGATCGAACCTTTGCGGACAAGCAATGTTTGCGCAATCATGAGCTGTTGAAGCATCAGCCGGACGAGCAAAAGAAATTCATGTGCGAACACTGTCCCAAGCGCTATACCAAGCAGTATTTACTCGACCAGCACAGGATCATACACAAGGAGCGCAATGTGCCCTGCGACATATGCGAGCGGCGGTGAGCGTAGCGAAATGTGATGTAGCTGACAATTCTGAAGGCTTCCAATTGAACAGCTCCAAGAGCTGGCTAGACTTAGACATTTGCTTTTCTTGTATTAATTGACTTAGCTTATGTGCTATCTGTGTAAGCCCAAGCCTCTGTTGTCTTAGGCTTGACTATGTCTATAAGTTTGCTTTGTAAAGTCAGCTAATCTCTTTGACTGCCTCTACAATTGCCCTTTGTAAATGAACTCATTTTCTCTTGTCGCACCTCTAGTTTCCCCAACATGTCGATGCTGTGCACTCACGTGAAGATGGTGCATGGCAATTATGGCACCATGTGCGACATTTGTGCCCAGGTCATACGAGGACAAGCCGCCTTTAAGCGCCATCAGCTGGAGCATGCTGGCATTACGGAGCCGAAGGTGCAGTGCGACATTTGTGGCTCGTGGCATAAGAACAAATATAGTTTAAAGAAGCACGTGCGTCGTCATAACGGCTCGTCCGAGGAGTGCACGTGCAACATTTGCGGCAAGGTGTCGCCCAACCGCAGCGCCATGCTCAGCCATCAGCGTTACGTGCACAACGCAGATCGCGTGCATGGCTGCAGCGTGTGCAAAAAGAAGTTCAAAAAGGCCATCAACCTCAAGGAGCACATGGCCACACACACGGGTGAGGTGCTCTACAAGTGCCCGCATTGCCCCAAGACCTTCAATTCGAATGCGAACAAGCATTCGCATCGCAAGAAGAGCCATCCCAAGGAGTTTGAAGAGGCGCGCAAGGCGCGCATACAAAATCGCATGGGCGACAATAACAAGAGTCAAACGACAAGCATGATAACAATAACAACAGACGCCAGCGATGGCCAGCTGGAGACGCACAATATACTGGTCACAACAACCTCGGCACAGCATCCGGATGACGACGACGAGGATTACAAAGGCGAAGACATTGAGTACATGCTCACGCTCAGTCCACAGCCAGCGGAGTAGCTCAACTGTGCAACTTATTCATACATACATAAAGTTTGTTTGCTGTAAATATATATATATATATATATATATATATATATATATATATAATGATAATTTAGTTTATTTTTTTAAATATGTGTAAGTTATATCCTTAGGCTAGCAGCGAGTAACAGAAAAGAAATAGACAAAGCCGGGAATGTTGTTGCATTGAGATTTGTGTGCTCGGAATTTGTTGCAGTGTACTAACCACGCTCGCAAATGATCTCCACGGCATTCGGTTCCATCAGCACCGACTCCAAGCAACGATGCACTGCCGAGCCAAGGATTTCGTCTAGCAAAAAGTTAACCAAGCTGCGAAGCAAAGTAAATGTTTAAATAGCTTATATAGAACTAGAGAAATGTTGACATGTTTCGCTTACTTCTCATCGCTGACGAAACGCCAGAGATTCATTTGCAAATAGTGCGCATCCACCTGTATTTGCTGCAAGCCAAACTTGCTAAAGGTGCGCAGGCGCACGCACTCCAGCAGCGTCTGTCGAGGAAGATTCTGAGTGAGCTAACAGCAATCGAGCAACTGAGTTGGGCAACTCACCTTGAGACCAATCTTAATGATGCCCATAACAATGGAAGCCTTGCTGAACTCCACGGAGGTGAAGATGTCGACGCGCTCAGAGAACAAACGATGTATATTGGACACATAGCTGGACTCCAGCTGCGAGGGTGTATAATTCGACCAATTGGAACGATATTGCGGCTTCGATGCATTGAAGTTGCTAAAGTACGTTTTGCGACTCGAATCGCTGCTCGCCGTGGTGCGAAAGCCCGCATTGCCAGCGCTTTCGTATAGGCTGGCCAGCACGGTCTCTATGCTGCCCAGTTCCTCGACGACGCGCTTCATTACGGCACGCACCGAACGCGGCTCCAGGCAGTTGAGCCAGTCCCGTGTCTCCACGCTCTTGCGCAGCATTTGCGAGATATTTGTGCCCTGCAAACGCACATATGAGTCCAATAGGGCTTGTGCCGTCTCCCGCATCTCAGCACAAATCTCCGTTTCATGCGTCAATGTGGCGCTGTTCTCCGAATCGATCTCGTACAGATCATCGACCAGAGCAATCTGCAAGTTGATTCGGCAAATGATAAGCAACAATTTACAATTGTGTGTCGGGTGGAGGCTTTACCAGCATGTGCACGCCTTGCTGTTCGAGCTCGAGACACGTCTTGGACAGCACCAGCAGCAAATTGGGCGGGCTCGAGCTGGAGACGTCCGCAAAGCCGGACATCACCTTCGAGATGTGACGCAAGAAGCCAATCAGTAGATGCTCCCTAATCCCTTCCACGCACAGCGCGCCCTTATTTTCCGCTTTGATATTGAAAGACCAATCGCTGCGCAGAAAGATCATCAAATCCTGCAGCACGCCCTTGATCTTCTCGACCATGGCCACATAGAGATTGCCAATGAGCTCGCTAAGATTTACGTCGCTCTTGGCCGAGACCAAGGACAAACGCACCGCACTCAGACTATCTGCAAAGTGATCCTTTAGGCTTTTGCTATGTGCATCGCAGAGCTGGTGAGCCGCTCCGATGATGATGTCCAGCGTATTCCTTTGCACCTGCAAACCACGGCAGATGTTGCGCATGGCCTGCAGCCGGCGATGCAGTCGATCCAGAGCGCGCAGCATCACTTGCGTGTCGCCATAGCCAATGTCCGATTCGACGCGATCCTGAACCAATGTCAAATACTTGTCGACGTTCTCATTCAGAAAGATGTTGAGCGCATTCAGGGCATTCTCCTGGAAGTCGTCGCTAAAGGCAGATATGAATACGATATATATATAGCTTATATGATGGAATTTACCGTTCGTGCTCGTAGTGCTTGGCCACAAACATGTCAAAATAGGAGGTGACCACCAAGGCCAAGTCGTTGAGAAAGCCATCGATGCCCATGTCGACAAATTCCAGCATATCCCGTTCCGTTTGATCCTGCAGCATGACAATCTGTTCGTGCAGCCGCTTGCCAGCGCATCTCAACATCTCGCTGGCCAGATCGGAGGTCTTCTCGTCCAGCTGCAGCAGCAGCTCACCGATTTCCGTTAGTGATTGCGCCGTATTGCCAGCACTCTGAAAGTCCTGACGCAGTCGCTCCTTCAGCTCTTCCATTATGGCATCGCAATCGCGTTTTATGCCATCGAACGAGGGCTGCCTGCCATACTGGGCGAACACCTTCTGGGCGTGCAGGTAGTCCTGCACGGCCTGTGCATAGTTCTGTTCCTCTATCAGCGCCTTCAGCTTGGCTGGCAATGTTGAGAGGAACTGCAAGCGCTTGAGCAGCGAATGCTTCTCGGAGAGGCGACAGAGCTGCGAGCGCGTGCCTTGCAGAGTGCCCGTAATTTGTTCGCTGAATGTGGTAATCGATTGCATCTTATTCATTAGCAGGTTCACATCCGTTTCCATCTGCTTAAAGTCATCTTTCATTTTGCGTATCGTGTCCGTGGCCGAAATAAATTTGTTGTAATTCTCGTAGACAAGCGTCTGCATGTCCGAATGCAGCGTTTGGGTGTCTTTGACGACGGCGGCCTCTGTGTCCATGATTTGCTTGAGTGAGCAATCTTTCAGCAGTTTCTCCAAATAGCGATCAGCGTCAAAGCTGGAGCTATCCATGTCAAAGGGATTATCTTTTTCGTCCATTGCAAAAGAAGTTTTTTCGTTTGCAAGGTATTTTCTTAATCATATGAAAACAAAAACATATGTTTCTGTTAAACGAAAACTTAACATGCGTTTAAAATTTTGTTAACAGCAGTCAATCGGCTCCACTTAACAAACAATCGATTGCACAGTCACAGTCGATTTCCATACCGTGAAAGTGCTGAACGCTTTTTTGCTAAATGACAAGTCGCGTAAATTTTTTAAGAAAAAGTGTGTTAACAAAGTGAAAGATAAATAATATTATGAGTTCTTTTTGCTGTGTATAATGTATTAGGTAAGTTTATAAACACTGTACTTTAAATTTGCACAGAAACGCAAATATTCAAATCGCGCTATTCATATTTGTGTGTGTGCCCTGGTTATACTTTTAATAACATATCGAATGGCCGCCACTAACTCAGCGGCTTATTTGAAACAATAAGAAGACTTTTTTGGAAAATTTCTGATTGGAAGTCGCTTAGATCAAATGAACGTTGGCAAATATTTTTATGAAACTGTATATAGATAAATTAAATATATTACATTTGACGTAAAGTCTATAGATTAAAGCTGATTTGCTTTATAAATAATATTGAAACTGATAAGCAGAGCCATTATTTCTATAATTGACAACTAGGCTTTTTCCCAGCATTCTATAAATATACTCTCAATGGAAAGCATCATAAATATTGTATTGCTCGCTGCTTGGGCGCTGGCTGCGTCCATTTGCAACGTTGCTGCGGGTAATTCGAGTTCAATTAATAATTTATCAATATATATTTATACTATTGTTGTTTGTGCAGATTGCGTCACTGATCCCGAGTCAATGTTGTGCGTTTTGGATCCAAATCAGGGCTAAAATTAAATACATTTTTATACAAAAGATAAAAGTAAACAATTTGCAACTGAAGGCCAAGCCTTGTTATTTAAATTTTTGGTGTGGAACGTAGGTTAACTGTTTTATCGACAATATATCGACCTGCCGCCATAAAAGGCTTTGTGTGGCGCACTATAGGCAAATTTGAAGATTGCAAAAATGAGAACAATTTGTGAATGCATTTCTTTAATAGGAATATGCATGAATAAAATCATTATTATGTGAGTAATGCTATAAATCAGTGTAATTATAAATAACATGTTTATTAGTCTTATATATATATGTATGCTGACCTGTAGATTAAAATACGACACAGCTTTTGTTATCAGCTTGCCAAAGATAGAAACTTGCAGCTAGACGCGTTTATTTGAGTTGCTTTATAAATAGTTTCGCTTTTTCTGTTTCTGATTTGCTTCGGATTGCAACTCGATTGCAATCGTTAATTTATAGGGAAAGGCTGTACAGTTGTTTGTCTGTCAAAGGTCGTCGAATTTGATAAGGATTTACTCTAAGACCTGTGCCAACTGGTAATAGATAAATAAATCAACAATCCAGGCGCAATAAGCTACTCATTGAGCTCATCGTCTCTAGCTGCTGGCAAAGTTGAAGTGTTTTTTGCTGTTGCTGTTCTAAATCGCATTATGCGCCCACATTTGGGCCGACGCCCACGCATTGACAGGTTCCGGCTGCCCGTTCGTGCATCATGTGCGATTGTTCGACCACTTGTAGCCAATGGACACAGATGCCGCCGTCGCCGCCGCCGCTGTTGTTGCTTTGGCTCTTGGGCATGTCGAGATGAATAAATAAACATCAAGAAGTTTTCCACTTTCAGCGGCGGACGCAGATATGTCCAAAAGTTAAAGTAAAAGTAAAAGTAAAAGTTTTTGTGCCGTATCTCATTCGTAACGGCTGGCACATCTGTTGTTGTTGCTCTGGCATTGCCTCATTTCAAATACATTAATATTTTGACCTTTGGCAAAAGTTTTTGCCCTAAAATTGTGTAAATCACGCCGCAGCCTCAGGCTCGTTGCTCGCTGCAAGCTAAGCCCTTGCATAGCTGCAGGCACAATATGTACACACACCTACGCCCACACATAGCTAAACTCACAAGGTTTACATTCATCAAACAGAAAATTGAATTTACGTAAGCCAAACGAATGTCAAAGGAAGAAAAAGTAGCGACGCCCACCCAAGACAAGTCAAGTCAGCTTTTAAGCAGCAGGCGATTCGGCAAAGGCGGCTTGCCTGGCGTAGGTGGTGCTGACAGCGTGTGTGTGTGTGTGAGTGTGTGTGTACGTAGAACGTGTCAAGGTCAGGTTACACTTACACCCATTGTCAACTTTTGTCTTCCCAACCAACAGCAAATATTTTTCCCTCAAAAAAAAAAAAATACTCGCGCAACAGGAACAACAATTTTTCCATGTGTGTGCGTGTGTATGCGTGTGTGTGTGCGTGAGTGTGTGTTGTTAAAGTGCGGCAAGTCGTTAAATGAATTTCAGTGCTGCATTGAGTACACTTAGAGAGTAGCGGAGCCAAGTGGATGAACACTGCGAGCATTTTGAGCTAAAGCGAGGGTAACTTGAGCAGTTGCTGTCACGTAAAAAGTAGCTTAAGTGTGAGCTGTTTGCATGAGTTGCAAATTTTAGTGCCAACTGAAGTTGTTAAGTGGAAAGTAGGGGTTGGAATAGATTATGAATACGAGGGGAGAAGAGATGAGAGGGCATAGAGGAGGGTATAGAATAGGTATTGATAGATTGGGCAGAGATTGACTATATAATAGGGTATATTGTAGGGTATCTATTGAGTTATGAAATTAAGTTTAGAATAGGGTATAGGAAAGGGTATCGAGTAGGACTTAGAGTAGATTAAAGAGAGAGCAGACTAAAGAGAGTAGGAGAGTAGGAGAGTAGCAGACTAGAGTTTAGACTAGCAAACAGAATGAGCAACGTATAGAGAGAACACAGCTAGGTTGACTTGACTTGTCTTGCCTTACATAAGTTATATAACATCTAGAAGTAGACGAGAGAACAATATATATGCTTTAATAGGTGACTTAATGTAGTTTCTCTCTCTCTCTCTCTTTCAGTCTCACTCTCACTATCTCTCTCTCTATCCCTTTGTCTGTAACTTTGCCTCTCACTTACTTCCTTCCTCCTCCTCTTTCCCTCTCTCTCTCCTTTTCTCTTGCTCTCTCTTTCTACATCTCTCCCTCTCTCTCTCTTGCGTTCTCTCTTTCTCTCTCTCCCTCTCTTTCTTTCTTTCTTGCTCTCTCTCCCTCTGTATCTTTCTAGCTTGCTTCCTCTCCCTCCCTCTCCCTCCCTCTCCCTTCCTCCTTCCCTCATTTACAACATTCAAAATTGAAAATTGCCCAACTTTCGTTGCCACCCTCGTTGCGTTGTTCATTTTAATGGATTATATACAGAAAATTGGACGCTTGACGGGGATTACAGCCAAGTGGCGCAGTCAAGTGCCCGCTGCCCTCTTCATGTGGACAGCAAATGAAAGCCAAACAAGTTGACGTTCCATGACATAACTGTAAATTACACTGCGCAACACACACAAGCACACATACACACACACACAGAGAGTCGAATTCAAGCTGCTGGTTAGCAAGTGCGAACAGTTTTATCAGCTGCAGGAAGAGAAATGCAAAATGCGCTCAAAATCTTTGCTCATAAATCGTGCAAGCTGAGTGCTTCCGCCGCCAGGCGTTAGGTGGCGCTTTAATGACGCTAAACTATGCACGATAGCAGCTGCAGGCGTGCATGCCACTGGGGAGTGCGGCTGACAATGCAAATGCAGCGCAATTTCGGCAGCTGCCTGCACTTAAGCAGCATCCTTACAAACAGAAAGAAGTCCACAAAAAATGTGTCAGCGAAGGTGTGGGCGGCAGGTGGGCGGCTAAGCTTCAATGCTTTTTTATTTTTGTCTGTCAATTTTTTGTCTGTTTTTTGTTGTTGTTGCAGCTTATTGCCCTTTGGCTGTGCGAGCTGTGTGGGCGGGGCAAAACGCTTTTAAGGTTAGCGGGTCACGTGCTCTTCAGCCAAGACAGAGCTCTATCTATATATATATATACATAGACAAATGTGCGTGTGTGTGTGTGTGTAATATTTGTCGCATTCTGTGTCGCATCTTTTGCAAAGCAGCCAATTGAATTGAAATGAAGTCATGCGGCCGTGACACAGCGTCCCAAATGCTTTGCCATAAATCAGGCATCAAAATTGACATTAATGTTGAACCCCACCTGCCCCCAAGCAGCCCCAGAGGCAGCCAGGACAGGTGGGCCAGCAGAGCGCGTCTTGTATTCAATTCACGCTGGCTGCGTGGCTGGCTGTCTCTCTGTCTAGGCCAAGAGTTTGCGTGTCGCTGTGCATTCGATCACGCATGGAATATTTAAGAGACAATCTCTTGCCATGCCACGCCCACTTGCACGCCTTGTGGCGGACGCGCGCCACGTAGCAAATGCAAAACAAACAGCGCGAAATGCCAGCTGACAACCTGATTGCCTAATCTCTAAAGAAAAAGAAACAGCTTAAAGCAATGCTCATCTATAATCGTACACTGCAACAAATAGTTGTGCAATATCGAAAGTCTTATGCATTTCTTTATATATCATAAATGAGAGCAGCTTTTTATTTATATATTTTTTTACATTTATTTATTTACTTTTTAAATATTTTTTATATATTTATTTATTTATTTTTGTGTTTATATTTTTATATTTACTTTAATTTATATAGCTTTATATTTATAAATACTTGAAATTTATTTAAATGTTGTTTAATATTATTCATTTATTATAATATTTTATTATGATTATAAAATTCATTCGACTGCCTCAAAATGCAAACGTTGAGGTCTTTGCTGCCGGGTATATTTTAGTTGAGCACGAACGACTGGCGTCTAATATAAGCCACACTGCAAAAAAAAAGAAGATAAACTTGAGTGTTATGCTTAAGTCAGAGTTTGCTTTGCCCCAGAGCTACGCACGCTGCCCGCAGCTAAGAACTGTAGAGAGAGGGAGAGTGAGAGATAAATATATATAGAGATAAAGAGAGAGCTTTAAAAATGTCTAAACTGAGATGATGAGCATTAAAAATTCTAAATCATCTTAAAAATTAATGCCCAAAATAATTTAAGCCAACTTCTGATATATTAAGTGCCTCGCTAAGTTGCCTAATGTGGCTGCAACTGTGGTGAAGGCTTCACTTAGTTTGTGTTAATGAATAGTTTAACTAGTCTAACTAAATTTAATAACTATTTATATTAAAATGAATTACTCGAGGCGAAATATGTCAGAATATAACACAAGTTTTTCACTGTGTATAGCCATATATATATATGTGTGTGATTATGTATGTGTGCATATCTACGTATAACTATCTGGCACCTGCTACTGCTGCTGCTGCTGCTTCATTTAGTCTGCGGTTAGCTGTGTATTAGTCTCGCTAATTTCGACTGTATCTGCATTTGATTCCAATTTGCATATAGGATTAATGTTTATTCGCCTAAATGGGCAAACACAGAGGCAGAGCGAGAGCGAGAGAGATAAGGAGATGGATAGAGATAGCGACACGTGCAGGCATACATGATATATGAAGCATACATCACATAAATTCAATTAATTACAATCTGCGGCTTTGGCACACAGGCACAAAAACCACATAAACTATCAATTAAAATTACAGTCGAATATTTAATACGCTTTAAATGTTTTATGAATATAAAATTAAAGCTTAATTGAAGTGCTTTTTTAAAATATTTTTGCTTTATATAATAGTTGCAATAGTTACACTGTATAATAGAATTGAGTAACCAGCGAGGAAGCTTTTCTTTGTAAAGGCTTGTCAAGAGAAGCAATAGTACTCAAAGATTCCTTAAAGGAAACCCCTTTATAGCTAAGATCTTAATACTTATTAAATGATTTTAATTTAATTTAAAAAAAATTAGATATGGCAAATCACAAAATGCTAACTAGACTTAGCTCTTCTGGCTTTAGATTCGTATCTTAATATAATATTAATTAATATTTATGCAACAAACAATAATAGATTCTTATTTGCTTTAACTTCATTAAATTCTTGTATTAAATTATATTTACTTAACTTTATTTCTACTATATGTACTTTAATCTAGTTTGCTTTTAAGGTATTCGAAAATTCTCCTTAAATTTGTTAAATATTCTCGTAGCTGTTTAAGCTGCAGAAACATTTATTGTTTACTTACACAATTTGCCTGTGGCAAATTTATCTACAAAATTAATTTCATTTTAAATATTTGTAAAAAGCAAACACAAATTTTTAATGAAATAATAAATGCAAAAACAAATAAAAAAAATATAAAATGAAAGAAAAAAATAATAGAAAATATTTTAAAAATAATAATTGCAACATAAAAAGATAACTATTTAAATTAAAAGTAAACACATAACTTTATAGAGTTTTTTCAATTATTTTTTAAGGTGGACAGCTAATAAAAAATTATTAAAAATTAATATGCATTAAATTAATTGAGTGTTATATTTTGGAAATGGAATATTGTTATTCTGTGTATATATGCGTATATATTTCATATGCATTCAATATTTTGTATGCGCAACTCCTTTAAAGCTTATATATTTTTCATAGCATACTTTTCAGCGCATATCTTTAGTTGCTTTAAATGGCAAACTCAATTCAAATGTTGTGGATACAGCAAACATTTCATTTCACTCCAGCGCAGCTGACTCACTTAAGCAGACATATCTGTAACCAAATCTATGCATATTTGATATCTTCAAAATCCATTTAAATATGTTTATGCCAGCTTGCCAGGCTCAAAAACAGCTTAGCCTGGCTTTGCAACAGGCACAGTCTCAAAACCGCAACCAGAAACAACAACTGACAACTACAACAACAACAACAACAACAACAGCAACAACTGTTAACCACTATTTAGTGTGTTGAATTGGTCAATGAATTGTTGGCTGTTAGCTTTCTATATTTAGGCCAAGTTCCCCAAACCAGTTCGAGCTACACAAAGAGCCAAAAAGAAGATAAAAAAAAACACATAAAGGGTTCGTCTCTGGGGCTTTTGTATTTTGGGGTTTCCGATTCCCCAGTGTCTGAGCACACATTAAATTATCGACTCTCAACGAAAATAAACCATTCAAACTCATACCAGCTGTACGTGTGTATGTGTGTGTGTGTGTGTGCGTGTGGATTTGGCTCCGTTTTGTGTTTTACATTTTTCATAGCATACTTTGCTGCGCCCAAAAGACACGACTCCATTTTGTCACATTTTATGGCAGCACTCAAAGCTATGCTACGAAATTTGCATACCATAGCTAAGTGGAAAGTGGAGAAGTGCACGGGAGGCGGCGGTGGCGGCAGAAGGGGCGGGCCTAATGGAAGGGCTTGTTTTTAGCTCTCTCTCTCTCTCTTTCTCTGCCCCTCGCTCATTTAGAATTGCATTTGTTGCACGACTGTTGACCTTTTTTTAGCTTTTAGTTGCTGCTAATGCCGCACACACACACACACACACACACAGCCACACAGCATACGTAGCTCTGCATTGTCAACAGCTGAAATTTTGGCTTGCTGCTTCGGCTCGACCGCAAAAACATTGCTGGAAATCAACAGTTTACCTTAATGTGGTGGACACTACGTGGGCCCGGCTTAAATGGCCAGCAAACCAACCAAGCACACACACACACATAAACTGTGTGTGCTTCGTTTTGGACATTGCCAGACAGATAGACGCTGGCGCATGCACAAGAGCAATTACTCATGGCAATAGCATAGGGAGTAGAGGGAGACAGCTATATGGGTTGTTGTGCTGAATCAACTGTCTTCCTCTCGCTCTCTCTCCTTCCCTCTCCCTGCCCTCGGTTTGTTGTTTATTCGCTTATCATGCACTTGGTTTGCCCAAAAATCAAAGCCTTTGTTTACACGTGTACAATTTTGGGGGCCAAAAAGTGTGGCAACGCCGCACGATTTGCATCTGCTTTGCTGCGGTTTGTACATTTACTAATTGGCAGCACTGTGCATCAACAATTTTTGCTAACTGTTTAATACAAATTTAAAAGAGAGAGAAACAGAGCTGGAAAAGGAAAAAATGAATGCAAATCAGCATGCAGACAACACACAGCTGGCTGCAGTGTTGCGGCATCCTAGAGACCACAACCGCAGCACAATCAGCATGCATGATTTAACAAGACACACACACACACTCAAACACACACCTGTGAAAACAGGTTTTTAGCATATGCAAACTGCATTGGGGCTCCCAACATGTGCATAAGCAAAAGATGTTGTAGAAGAAGAAGATGTAGACGATGCATAAGCAGGCAGCCGCTGGGGACCAACTGGGGCATATTTTGCGCCAATTTCCATGTCGATCGTTGGCTAAGTAAATGCCAAGTCTCATCCTAACCTCACAGCAATTCGTCTTTGATGCTATGAATGGAAATGCAATGCAAAACACAAGCAAAACGTAAGAAAGCAAAACAAAAGCAGCGAGCAACAGACGCTGGCAGAGGCTAAACAAAAACAACAACGCCAAAGCCTGCGTAGGAAAGAAAATTAAAAAGTAAACACAAAAGTTCACGTGCTCCGCATGAGGTAGCAGCCGAAGTAATGGCAGAGACCGAGGCAGAGGCAGAGACAGCGACAGCGACAGCGGAGCATAAGTTTGTTTGCAGCGGCAGCGGGCGATAGCTAAAGAAAGACATTAAGAAGCTGCGCATTGAGCGTATGTCAGAGAGCGCATGAGTCAGAACAAAAGCAAAAGAGAGTGTTCATGTGAGAGAGAGACAGAGCGAGACAGAGAGTGTGGCCATTGATGTGTGTTTGCATCGGAATTTCTCTCCTGCGATTTGTTTACAGTTAGAAATGAATGGTAAGGTATACGGCATATCAGCTGTTAATGACAATCAAATAATTTAAATTTTTAACTTAAATTAAATATGATTATATATAGCAAAGCTTACAGGCGGTATTTTAATTATTAATCATAAACACAATATATTAATATAAATAAAAACATCATTGAATTCATCTAATATTTGTATATTCTAAGTGCTGCTTAACCAAATTCCGATTTTTTAAAACTTATTTATAATTTGCTTTGTAGGTGCACGTAAAGTCACCTTGGCTTATTGTATCACTCATTCACGCGCCAATCAGTAAGGATTTACTTTGCATTTCAGAGCAACTCTTAGGATTCGCCTCTCTTCTTCTGCTGTACGAGCCACGTGCGTATTATTTATGCGTAGACATTCTGGCGCCGCTAGCTCAGCTCCAATACATCGCAAACACAAAGAGAGTAAGCAAAGGCAATGCAAAGCCAACTGCAAAGACACAGACTCGGAGAACGAGCGAGTGAGATGGAGTCATACGAAAGGAATCCAAACGTAAACATTTTATGAAGCGCGCGCTCTCTCAGAAATGTGTGAAGAGTCGTGGCGAACGGACGTGCGCTGCGCCCGTGGACCGCATCGAGCAACTATTTTATTTTCCACCTGCTAAATAAACACATACACTCGCACACAAATAGACGCACACGTTAAACGTTAAGCAAGCGCGCGCAAAACTGAAAAGAAAAGTAATCAAAACGAAGTGAAAACCGCGCAACAATAGTTCCATGCGAAATTGTGCAAAGATATTTGAAACAAAAAATAAAAACAAAGAAAATAATTTAAGCAATAACAAATTAAAGTTAAGTGAAAAATCAATGCACGACCAAAAGTCGAATAACGAAAACTGACGCACAGATACACACAAGCACACACAAACAAACAGTAACAGAAACTGGCTGCAGCCACGCACACGTGGGCTTACACACACTGACACACAGGCACACGAACATCGACATAAAAGTGCACACATACACGCACAGGCAGACAAGGCGAAAGCCTAACAAAGTGAAAGTAACGAAATTAGCAACACAATAGAAAAACAAACAGTGAAAACAAGCGCATAAAAAATGCACACGAGCGGGTTAAGAAGTGTGTTGAAGGCAAAAGAAAGCGTAAGGACGGACGCAGTAACGGTGAAAGTGTAATCAATTTAATGTCGCATACTTTTGGGCTGAACAGTAGAAGACGACAGCTTTATAGCCAGCTGCAAACTAAGTGCGCCCACTGTAATTTTTACAGCTACCGTTAGAGAAACAAAAGTAACATGCACGCAATAGCAGCAGTTTCCGTTACTGAGCGAAGCTGAACTAGCAAAAAATGCTGCCATTTAAACGGCAAAGGCATGCATAAAGAACAACTCGCACAGAAAAAGTAGTGCAATAATAACGATCCCGTTACTGAGAGCTTTACTCATTGCATGCAAAAAAAGCAGCAAAAACCACAACAACAACAACATTCAGATGAATAACAACAACAACAGGCGGCAAACAGCAGCCGCATAGTGTAGAAACGTGTGCAAGATAAACACGCAAAACAAAGCGAACTGGGTCAGTGTGCGAAAGACGCGCGGGGGTATAGTGAATGGCGCAAGATTAAATGGTGGCACATGCACGTGCATGCAAAAATGTGCTGAATACTTAATGTCCAAAGACGCAGCACCAGCAGCAGCACTAACAACAGCAGTGGACTGACGAGGTAAGTTAACTGCAAGCTCAATTTTAAGCGGCCAGCCATTTATGCGCATATATGCATATATGTATGTAATGTGTATGAGTGTGTGTGGCATTGCACACCTCAACAAAATCCGATACGCATTTTTAGCCTTGAAAAATGTGTACGGTAAAATAAACAGCGACGGCGGCGAGTCAGCTTCGTCTTGACGGCGAAATCTAGGGGTGCGCGCGGCAAAGGCAAGTTCTAAACAAAAAGAAAAAAAATCGGCAGCAATTTGACGAAAGAGAAGAAAGTATAAGTATACCAAGCAGAATAACAACAACTGTTAAAAGAGCAAAGGGTGTAACTGGAGTCAAAAGTAAATGGCCATCGAAATGCCGAATGAAAGAGGGAAAACATAATAACAAAGCGTACACAGAGAAAATGGCAAACAAAAATAACAGTAAAATAAAATATTCTTGTGAATGTAGCTAGCTTGCAGGCGAAGCGGGTGCCCAAACACGCCCACCGACACGCAGCGCTCGCAATGTTTGCTGCGCCTTGCCCCACCGTCCTTGCCCAGTCGCCTTCCCCCCGGCGCCTACTCCTCAACACAACTCATTTCGCGTTTCGTTTCTATCTGTATATTCCTGATGTGGGTCATAAATGTAACTCCGTTTTTATGACCAACTTGCACACAACGCGCTCTGTCAGAAGAGTAAAAGAGAAGCAGCAAAAAAAAAAAATAAGTGAAAGAGCTGCCAGCATAACCAAATAGCGATTTCAAAGGGTCAGAAAGGGTGGTGGGAGCAGAGAGGGACAATCCTGTTTGAATGTGTGTGAGCGCAAAGGCCATTAAAAGGCTCGGCGGGCAGCGTCAGCGCCAGCGCCAGCTACACGCTTAGAAGCCAGAGTTGCGTTTATGTATATATGTGTATGAGAGAGTGTGTGTGTGAGCGAGGGTGACTCAAATAACAAGGCAGCTTAAGCCATTAGCATATATGTATGTTTGAATGTGTGCGTATATATGTATTTCCTCTAATTGACTGATTGACAAGCGTCTGACTTTTAGGGAAATGGTAGACAATACAATATGCATAATATACACAGACATTAAAGCTAATGCGTATTTATATAATAAATAGTTAAGCATTTATTCTATTTATATAGCGGACAAACATAGAAACCCTTTTCAGCTCTTACTATTGCTACTGCTGCTGTTGTTGTTGATCTGGCAACCCTCTTAAGCAGCTTTCGCTAAGTCTATCTCTCTCTCTTTTACAAGCACACTTGTTCGCAAAACTCTCTGCGTTTTATTTGACGTCATTATCCAACTGTTGTTTCGTTTTGCTCGTTTGCCTGCCCTGCTTGCACATTTGCTTTTTCAAGTTTTTGTTTTTGTGCTGTCGCCGCGGCGCCTTGCTGTTGCTCCTGCTGCTGCTGCTGTTGCCTGACTCTGCGTGCTTAACCGTTATTATATTGCAGAGAACGAACGCATTGAATGACGAGATTTGTGCGCGCTCCTTTTAGCTAACACAGTTGCATTTAACATTGTACTGTAGTGGCTATTGCTGTTACATTTTACTATGCTGTCGCTCTCTTTCTCTTTCGCTGTATTTGTTTGAGCGCCAATTAGGCAAAAGTTTACGACAGTTTTCTGACATTTCGGCTGTGGCTTGACATCCCCACAAATACATATGTACTGACTGTGTTTGAGTGTCTGTGTGTGTGTGTGCGTTTAATGCCGTTTGAAAGCATAACCCTATCTTGCTCCCGCTCACTCCAACTATCATTTGCGGCTGGCGTTGGCGTGACCTTGGTAATGTCTGTGCGTGTGTGTGTGTGCAGCGCATGGAATGCAAATCCATTGAAAGCGACAGGCTGCAGTTCAAGGCTACTTTTACGTTACGCAAGCGTTACTCGCACACAAATACAAACACACACAGGCTTGATTTTTTGTTTGTTTGTGTGCATATCCTTGAGCGTCGTTCACGTTGCATGTGTTGCGTTGACAATTTGTAACACACACACACATACGGACAGCTGTCACAGACAGCTGCTCGCTTTGCGTCTCTTGTTTTTGGCTTATGCAATAGCAGGCTTTAGATGTATTTTTTTAATTAGCCAACACACAAAGCCGCCGCAGCCGCATCCGTATCCTATTTTAATGTTATGCAACTGTCTCTGACCTTTGCTACGGCTTGCAATTGTGTAAGTGTGTGTGTGTGACTGTTTGTATGCGTGCCATTGTCTCACATACACGAGGAAACGTTGAGCTGCCTTGACGCTAGGCTTTTGTCTTTGGCTCAATGTCACTGCATATTTGAGTAGGTTTGTTTAATCGAAGCGCGCCCACTGCACACGTGTGCATGTGTGCGGGTCTGTGTGCGTGGGTGTGGCATGTGTGCTTGCCTGCCTGTCTGCCTGCCATGAATATGACATAAGTCAGCTCGCATTAATGTTCCCGCACACACACATACACATATACATGCACATATTTGCCATGCTCATTGGCAATGGGCCACGCAATAATTTGTTTAGTTGTTCCCTGATAGAAACGACTCTCCTAACGCCCACTCACAGCCACCCACTCCACTCTGTTTATGTCGCTCCCTATCTCTCTCTCTCGTATTCTCTCTATCATATTTCATTTCAATTTGCGACGCATTTCATTGCAATTTGTCAGCTTTTAAAATTGATATCTGAACCAGCAGCAATGCATAGAAAAATGTCAAATGTCAACGTGACAGTCGGGACAACATGCGAGATGCGAGACGCAGTAAAAACCAATTTGCATTACAACGATGCAACGGTTAGCGAATGAAGTGATGGAGGATCCTGAGAGGCAAACAGAGAGGAGCAAAAATTTGCAAACTGCCTGCACTCAGGCCAAAGAGTGAAACGCAAAAACCCAGACGCAAATTAAGGTGAAGTGAAAAACTAAAGTAAAGTTGGCTGCTCATTAGGCTGCCATTGGGTTGCCAGAGTTGCCACAGCCGCCGCACTTGAAAGGGTTTTTCTACATCTAACTGTTTCGTTTTTAAAGTTGATTTCACTAAAAATGTGTGGTAGCATAAAGAGCGCTTCAATAAATGGCACTAAAACCCAGCTACAAATTCGGGACAAACCGAAATGAAAAAAAAAAATGGTAGAAGTAGACCAAAAAACTGCATGCAGAGCGACTAATTTGGTAGTAGTTCTCGCTGTTTGCTGCTGCTGCTGTTGTTGATGTTGTTGTTCTGGGCGCCATTTTGAAAATCCTCGCACGTGCCTAGTGACCTCGACCGATTCTTTTGTTATTCGAGTGTTGAAAAATAAAAAAAAACAAATTGTTGCTGCAATTTGCGCATTTTGCGGAGAACAAAACGCGTTCGGAAATGATTGCAAAAAAGAGGAGTGGCCTATATAGAAGGTATTATACAATAAGTGAACTAGCTTATGACAAAAGTCATTGCGAGGTAGCTTAAAGTCGATCAACTTGCGTTATTATTATCCAATAATCACATAATCCATTGTATAAGTCGTTTACCGTTAACTGTATTCATTTATTTTCGTCCCAAATTACACTGCAAACAACGAAATGTTTATTTACATTTGATGTACCCGCGCCCTAAGGTCACACGCCATATTTATTTGTATTGGAGTTATCAGTGATATTATTAGGCAATGCCCATAGCTATATAACCAGTAAAAGTAATTATGGTGCTGATCGCTGATAGAAAGTAATATAAATAATCCATGATTATGCAAGAAATGCAAATAAATGGGCACAGAAAATGGCAAAAGCGCACCAAGAGCTTAAATAGAAATAAATATACATATATATTGAGAGTAGGAAAATGGAAAACGGAAAACGACAGCAACTAAAAACAATTTGCCGTAATCAAAATGAAATCAGCAAAGCGCAGGCAAATAGAAAAAAGAAAGAAATAAAACTAAAGCAACCGCAGCGACAAATAATGGTGCGAAAATGAGGATACAGCAAGGCAAGTAGACAAGGGAATACTCTAATAAGTCAAGGCAACTGACGAGCAAAATGTGGAAAAGTAAAAAATCATATTAAATAATAAAAAAATAAAAAGAAGGAAGGTGATAGAAGATAAAAGAAAGAAGATGGAAATGGAAAATATAAGATTGAAAATTGAAGATGGAAGATGAAAGTGGAAGATGGAAAATGGCGGATAACAAATGGAAGATGGAAGACGGAATATAAAGGATGAGAGATGGAAGATGCTAAATTAAAGATGATGAGTGGAAAATGGAAGATAGCAAACAGAGGATAGAAAGTGGAGAAGAGAAGATAGAAAATAAAAGATGAAAATTGAAAGGGGAAAATTCGGGATAGAAGATGGAAAATAAAGATGAAAGATACCAGATAAATGCTAAGATATTGGAGATAGATGAACCATAAAAATAGAATTGTGAAAAAATGTAAGCAATCGATATATTCTGATAACAAATGTTATTCATTTATAAAAAATTCCATGCGACAATGCCACTGACTTACCTTAAAAAAATTGAAATAAGATGAATGGAACAATATGATTGCAAATGGTATGAAATTTGTTAAGTTGTTGATTGAACAAGATAAATATGGAAAATACATATTCAGATGAAAGTGAAGCCAAATGGAACACAATTTCAAAAGAATTCTGCAATACAAAGAAATATAAATATAAAAAATAACTAGTCCTATTAAAAAGAGACGAAATAAAAACAAATATAATTAAAAAAGATGACAATAGTAAATGGTATCAAACTTATAAAGATCTATTGCATTCAATAATAAATCTTTTGATTTAACTTCAATAAGCGCAATGAGAACTTTGTATTATCTTACAAATAAGAGTATTTATAAGAGGAAATGCGATAACTCTGAATGCAGTCAATGCGACGGACAAACTCACCAGCCAGCGCATAGATTACGTAGTCAAATAAGAAACCAGGGAAGGAGAGAGTGGGAGGGAGTGGGAGAGATGAAGAGGGACCGACTATACAGGTATGCGGAAGTTAAGGGCATGGAGGGGTCATTATATATTTGT